AAATATCTCCGTGTGAATGTCATTCTCAGCACTAGCCTAGCCTCCCCGGCGTATACGACCCATCTGCTGTCTTTAACGTCAATCAATTCATTGACGGTTGTAGAAGACTGGAAACAACTTCAGAAGTAATCACGACGAAAATTTCAACAAAATTAGGCAATAACAACAAGGTACGAAAACAACGAGTAAACACAATTAGTCCAAAATCACAAATTGATAAGACAGACCACACGTATACACAAACAGTCCGAATAACCTCGCGGATCATGTCTTTGTGGAATTGTTTTGAAGAATTGCAGGACTTACACCAATACGCCTGCAACCCTCCTCAGGTTGACGATTGTAAGTTGTGGAATGTACGGGCACAAACAAGATTAACCAACAATTACAATAATTGGAACTCACACAATTATTTAACACAAACATATGTACAATCAACACATCAAATGTTGTGGATTCTGTCTTGACGAACTGCCCTTGAAGAACTGTAGGACTTGCAGCAGTACGCCTATATTCCTTCTCAGGTTGATGATACAAGTGGAAGACGTGCAGACACAAAGAAAATTAACAACAGACAGAGGAGAGATGGTATCAGTTCAGTATATACAACATGAACATATGTACGAAATCGCACACCAAGCAAGTTGGGCGGCTAATTGATGCGCTACATTTTGAAGAATTGCAGGACTTACAGCAGTACGCCTACAACCCTTCTCAGGTTGACGCCCTAGGTTGGAAAATCGTCGCAGAGTTCATTTGCTGACTTCCTTCCATCAGCTATATCCTCAAATCTGAACGGAAACACGCTCATGTCATTGTATTGTAGAATAAAGATGACGAACAAACACACGACGTATCTGGTCAACCAAGCGTAGACACAGAGTAATTTACACCAAAGATAATAGCATTCAAATAGTAACTTGAAACTAGAAATGCCTTTATTCATGCAAGTCAATTTAACAATTACTCTTTCGTTTAAACTTGGCTTATCCTCACTAAACTGAGCAGTATGCTTCGTCCTTTCAAATGCACCAATACTATCATAGTCATTGCACAAGATACTTGAGTTGATGGGCGTCTGTTTCATTGTGGATGACAACACCAACGACAACTGAATGGTGCCAGTTGATGAAGTTAGCGGTGGATCAAAAGCTGTTGTTGCTCGGCTTTCAGAAAATTCTCTAACTGCAAGATTACTACCACTGCTGTCTTTTACTATTAGCTCAGGTTTAGCACTAGCATCTGATGATAGGTGGGCTACATGCTGATCATTTACACTGACGGTCTCACAAGTATACATGCCTGCTGCAACTGCATTTATTTCTACTTCAGCTTTGAGCTGTACAGAACCCTAATTTAACTTAGCAGTAGTAGGCACCCCCCTCATTTCATCATGATCGACCAAAGACAAATCTGCACTATCATGATCATTATCACAAATATTCAATTTACCATCATCTATCTGGTCGACTTCATCATTTTCAAACTCTTTATTAACAGAAGTAGACAATTTTGGTTCCTCCTCACAAATCCTTAAAGGTTCTATACCTTCACTCTGACTAGTAATACCTTGTAAACTTGTGGAGTCAGAACTGCACTCTGAAGCAGCAATTCTATTCTGTGACACTATTCAACAATGGCTTACCAGTTGCAACTACAGACTTCTTCACCGCACCGTTATCGTCACACAATTTGGAGTCAGGCCTTGATTTCACATTTAGCTTATCACTGAACTTGCTCACTGGTTCACAGTTCACCTTTGTATGCACCTCTTGCAAACGTGTAAAACACAACCGTGTTTGTCTTGCATCTTGCAACTTATCTGTTGAGGATGTACTACGAAACCTGTTACACTCACTAGGTCTATATGCATTACTAGACATCATGGAGCCTTCTCGAAATCCACCTCTCTGAGGCCTATTCGTCATCAATGATTGCATTTTGATCTCAGACTGCTCTATTCTATGGGTGAGATATAATAGACTGGCAAACTTGCTCATATACTGATTGACGCTATCTTTTACTAGTTTCAGGATATCATCGAACTTTGGCTCGATACCCTCATCCTCCATACGGGAGCTTATCTTCACCCACTTCCTTTGCAGTCGAGTAGGTAGGCGTCTCGCTATTACTTCTAGTATAAAACTCGAGTTGAGGTCACTCATGCAATTCATCGAAATCAATGCATTCTTGTAAATCAGCAAATTATCCAAAACTCAGTGAGTGCCTTGGAGTCATGTTGTTGTTGACTACCATTACCCTTAACAGCCTCGAATAATTTCCCTACAATCATCGAAGGTCTTCCAAACCTTTGACGTAGTATGCTCATAGCCTCGTAGTAGCCCTCTTTTGGCTTCATAAACTTACAGCACTGTATAGCTCTTGAAGCATCTCCAGTGCAATACCTCATCAAATACATTAACTTCAATTCATCACTTAATAGAAAACTACTCAGCATGATCTCAAACTCCTTTACAAATTGTAAATAATCAGCCGGGTTTCCATCAAAACACCGTGGTTCAAATTTAGGGAGTTTGATGTTCCTATTATCCCTGAACGGCGAAACAGTAACATCAACCATGTCATGCTTAACATCAGACACATCGTTACAAGTAACAGACAAGTCACCATGACTTACTTTCCTGTTTGCATCCAAGACGCTCTGTCCCTTCTTTGACCCAGGCATTGTTGAACTTGACCCAATTCCAAAAACGTTCCAGATATTGCTTGTTCAAAGAGGACTTGACCGGTGCCAGGAGAGATGAACGGTGACTATCCAAACTTTCACCAACTGTCTGAATCCGCCAGAATCTGTTTCTACTGTCAGAAACTGTCAGTCACGTCTCGTAAACCGTTAATGGCCAGCTCTTGCTACGCTCAGGCTCACGCTGTTCCTTGAAGTTTCTCAGAAACGCTTAGTAATAACGGACGAAAAAACCAAAACACCAATTGGTGACTCGAGGATTCTTTATTGTTACACCAACATATAAACAATGTTACAGCTAAGGTCTGTGAACAAATATTACAATAATGATTCACAATATTACTTCTGACAGTTGTCTCCTGACTTCTTTCTGAACAGCGACCGATGAGACGATGACTGTCGTATTGATGCCTCCGCGAAAATTGGGGAAGTTGGTTTTGAGCAAGCAACCATGAATTGATCGTTCAATCTTCAACTACATTGACAGTCTCCTTCATTTACCTGGGAAGCATCGTCTCAACTACAGACGGAATTGGCGAGTATATCAAAGCCAGAATCGGAAAAGCAAGACAATCTTTCATTAATCTCAAATCTGTATGGAGGTCAACAACACTCACCATCAAAAATAAGATCCGGATTTTCAACTCCAGTGTGAAGTCAGTGCTACTCATTGTACGGATCATATACTTGGCGTGTCATGAAGAGCATCTCAAACAAACTTGAGACCTTCATTAACAGCTGTCTTCGCTCAATCCTACTCAAAATCAGATGGCCGGCCGGAAAAGATCAGCAACAAATATCTTTGGGAGAAAACCAACAAGGCAGGAACCGATTGTGAAACAAATAGGCAGGAAGAAATGGAGATGGATTGGCCATACGCTGAGGAAACCATCAAGTGACATCACTAGACAAGCCATCGCTCCAGTGGAACCCGAAAGGGAGGCGGCGAGTTGGTCGTCCAAGGGTGACTTGGAGGAGGTAATGCGAGGAGGAGATGAAAGCAAGTGAACAGACCTGGAGCAGGGTGAAAAAGTTGTCAGAAAACCGAAGGCAATGGAGGTGCGCAGCTGAAGCCCTATGTTCCTCTAGGAACTAAAGGATACAATAATAATAATTCACTGTCGCACTATTCGCCGTCCGACTGTGATTGTGACTGCTAACTGTCAACTTAAACAGTGGGAAAAGCTATGTCTACGTGTTAAGTGGAAACTCCTATTATGGATTTCCGACCACCACTCCACTTTTTTTGGCAGTACTAGATAAATTGTAGTTAGTCTCCTAGCACTGTTTCATTGTGAACTGTTTAGGGCCTATAGAGCACGGAAAGAACAGGGTAGATATCCGAGCCATGTTTGTCCCTCTGCGACGGCAATGGTTACTACTCTTCTGTGGTTAGGAAACACATTAATCCAGGAGCCCCATTACTTCTTTAAGAGCAGCGTTAGCTCCCTTTATACGATACTATGAGCTGCTGTGACAATCAATAGGAAACCAGTATGCAAGGGTTTGGGGGCAAAGCTCGAATGTTGCAGGACCATACTGGCGTGGACCCATCGCATTCCTCCCCATAATGGAACCTAGTACATGGGTCATCTACAATAGTTTCTCTCTAGCTGGCACATTTTCAAGACAAACTAGTAATGACAGAACTCAGATACGATCTAAGAAGCAGCAATCAAGTAACTGATGAAACAAAATCAATAAATTTTATAAATTTGGGGATCAATGGGAAACCAAACTATTATGAAAACATTTTTATCAGTAAACAGACGAAGAAACTGCAAAAAATAACACCATCCAGAGCAATTTAAGTTGCTCTATGTATAGAATTTTGTGGTGGATAGCACAACAAACACTGGAACTAAATGAGTGCAAACATTCACACGTTATCAAGGTTCACTCGGAATTACATCACTGGACTCAACCGTTAATGACTGTTAAAGGTTACATGGACCTGTTTGCGTCTTGTTTATTAAACTGAATTATCATTATCTGGGTGGTTTTTAACCAGTGAACATACGCTTTTGCCTTTAAAACTAAAGTGTGCCCAGAGCCTGTAATCGATGATTGTCTCGAAAATATCAACATTAGTCAGCGTAATGTGTAGACCCCAAAGTATTGATTAGCATTAACATGGTCACATCACCAAGTCACGCTTCACAAAATGATCACATTGGCTTTTTTTGAGATACACATTCTAGGAAATTTGTTTAAATGGCCATAATTTATTCGCCAATTCAAAAGTTCTCGTTTGCAAGGTCGTTCTCCGCTGTCTGTACAATCACTGTTCGTAAAAATGCCTCGTGGTCGTGGTGTTAAACGAGGCCAACGTCAAACTTCATCTTCTGTAGCACCACCTGTCGACTCTAAAAGTGCTAGATATACCTCGGCGAATGCAGATGTAAGTGTTTTCACGTAGTATTAGTGTGGTAAATTTTTTCACATTTTAACCATTATAAGACAGTCTAGTAATTCACAAAAATATGGCTTTCAAGGCTCTATTGTCTTTTTTAATCACGTTGCACCCATTTATTTTTAATAAAGTAGTGTATACTAACATCTAAGATTCGAATCATAGCTGTTTGCAGATTTGATTAAATCCATAAAAATTAGATTCCGCCCATCTTCGATTCGCAGAAAATCAACCACATTGTTTTTTGGCCGTGAATTCTGTAGCTGCGAGCTTATGTTTAGGATGTGTTGCTCCGCACCAATATACACAGTTGTCATATAGTGCTGTCATTTACATTAGCGGTGCAAGTGTTTTAATTTTACTTGGCAGTTTTATAAAACCTTCATTTAGTGAAATTAAAATAATTATTGCCATTTCATGCTAGCAATGTAGATCCTAAGTTTTTATTTATTTCATGGCCAAATTCGTTTCGTATACTACCCAATCTAGCTGTCAGTTCCTCATATTTTGCGTAATTCATATTCAATTATGTTCAACACAGAACCCCTCTCTTTCAGTTCACATTTAAGTGTATTTTAAATTAAATGTTTTCAAGACAAACGAATAACTAAGATATTATCAGTTTAAGCGATGTACTTTTTTTGCAATCTAATTAGCTTTATATTAACATTTTCTTTCAAAATCACAGGAGGAGACAAGTGAGGCAGGAAATATAAAGGCACCTGAAGCAGGCGTTTCGGTTCCCTGTGAAAGAAAAAAGAGAAAAAAAGAACCTAAAGTCGAAAATGAGGAAGATGATGATGCGTCTGAGAATTATGAATTTAATAATAGTGAATCTGGGAAACGTGTAACGGAGGGTAATGCCGACGCAGAGGATGGCGAAAGTCAAAGTGCTGTAGAAGAAGCAGTTGAAGAGGAGACGGATGATAGACTAACGCCTGCTGAAAAAGCTTCACAAGTTTGTCGTCTCCCTGCTAAAGAACTTTGCACGGAAGAAACTTTATTGTTTCCTTTCTTGGAAAGTTCTCCAAATTCTTTACGACAGTCGTATATTATTGTTCGCAATTTTGCCGTAAGTTTATAAGTCATCTACACTTTTTCATATAAATCCGCTTGCGATTTGTTGTACAATTTTTACGTCATTTCAAATGTATTTTTTAATTAAAAATGAGATTTCGGACATGAAACTAATTGTTTTAAAATGTTGAAAGGATTAACGTGGTATTCTACTTTTTTTATGTAGTTTTTGTTATAAACTGATAATCAGTTAGAAGTTAATCTTATCCTTTTCAAATTCTAAATCTCACAAATTCGAGATGCACTTCCTTCTATAAGTATAAAATTCAGGTTCTTTGATGGAGTATTATTCATTTATAGAATAATTTCCGCAGTGTGATGATATTAATTATGAGCAGTACAATGTGCTCGAAACGTGCTCAACAGTAAAAAAAAAACCACACACACTGTATCACTGTGTGTTTTTATCAAAAAGAAAATTATATTTTGATGAAGTTTCCCCCATAGCGTTTTCTACAGAGATTAACCGAATTTTCCTCCAGTCAGCTTCAGTGAAAATCACTTTTATTTTAATTTTGTTATTAATTGTATTTCTCACATTTCCTATCTAGTACTGTTTCCTTGCGAAACATTCTGTTAACAAAAAAATACTTTTTAAATTAATTTTAGTGCTTAATGTGGTCCGAAGATTCGTGTACACAAGTTACACCCAATCGGTTATTCACATATGTAGTTAATAATATGTCCATGGAGAATCTAAAGGTAATGATCGACTCCGGACTGACTGCGCCTTTACCATCACAACACCAAGGCTCGAATTCGTCTGCTTCGTCTTTATGCGAAGAGAATTTGCATAATAATTCAGGTCGCAATAAAAATCGCAGAAAACGTAAACGATCCTTTCAGCGTCATTTACCAACTTTGTCTTTACCAAATAATTATTCACCCTGGGGAACAAGTATTGCAAAAGCTAATTTAGAACGAATGTGCTATTTAGTTGTTTTGTTTCTAGAAAGGTAAGTAGTCAGTTTTTTTAAAAACTATTTTTGAATAAGCTGTTTTTATCCATCTACTTCTAATTAAGCTTCTCTTGTCATTTGCTTTCTTTTCTTGACTGGTAGTAGTGATAACAATAATTTGCTTTATTCCAAAACAGTACTTGTGATACAGAATAGAATTCTCAGCATTTTACTACACTATTGCATCCAGTTAGTACATTAACAATTAAATAAAATTCTACATAGATTATAGGTAATCTCAGTTAGTTTTGACAAGAACATATTAGCATATCGGTAGCAAAGCCAAAATTGAACAGAATGTTTGAAGGTATTAGAAAAGTACACGCTAGCATATTTACTGGCGTAAACGGTAACAAAAAGGTCGAGGTACACAGAGTGTGAAAGAACGAAGAAGAATATTTTAAATAGAGTTTTTAAGGAAGAAAGAAACAAAGCAGCACATAACATCCAAAAAATAGAAAAGTAAAAGAAAGGAAGAAAACGTTGTACCTATAAATGATATGAATTGGAAAGACGAGATCCAGTTGTTCTACTGACTATTTAATAAGTTATAGGTATCACGCCTAATGCTTTCTTTATCGCACAGAACACGATCCAAGTAGGTAGGGTATGGTTGATTTTCTGTACTTGCTAGTGCGAGCATATATTGATTGTCTTCTAATGTTTGATCTTGTTTTATCATCTATCTATGTTGCAGCATGATTTTAGCCTTTTTTAAATTTCTAACATCTAAATGGATGTAGGATGAAATATAGTCAACCTGCAAAGAAGAAAACAATATTGGGAGTACTGATAAGCAACTGGAAAAAATAATAGCAAAATCTTATATTTTATCTCCTCGATGGCAATGTGAGCTGAGATGGGGTCAGGTCAAACCAAAAACATGGCTTCATCAGTCATTGAAATCCACAACAGTCTGTCTGTCTGTCTGGATTCAACATAGAACTTGGCACCGAAGTGCACCAGTTCGAGTTGCCACGTTCCAAATAGCACACAGAGGTAGACAAGAAGATGAGTGAAGAGAATCAATACAGTCTGACAAGTATAAGAGTGAAACAGAATGGGTAATGGTAGAAAGGAAAATGAAAGATTACAGAGACTGAATACATTTGCGCTGGCCATTGACAACGATTTTGAGCCATGTCACCTATTGTCTCCAACCATTGATTCCTAGAGTCCCGAGGGCCCCAACCCGGGAGTCTGCATCTCCCTACCTGACTCAGTTTAACTGTCAAGGATTTCATGGATTGATGAGGCCATGTTTTTGTTTGGCCACCACTGGCTCTTTTCCAACCTTCACCTATATCAGCTAGCAATGCCCGTCGGGGGAGGCGGTGATTAGGCATGCGCAGCACGTGACCTAGCCATCTTAGTCTATGTAACTTTATAGCCTCGTCGATTGATTTTCCCTCTTTGCCCAACACTCTACGCCTAACGTCAACATTACTTACCTTATTAAACCACCTAACGTGAGACAGAGATCGCAGACATCTATGATCGAAAGCAGTCAACCTTTTCATGTCTTCAACGCGTATTGGCCATGTTTCAGAGCCATAGAGAAGGACGGAGCGAACTGATGAGCAGTACACACGTCTCTTGGTTGATAACCGGATATCACGCCTACGCCAGAGATGGTGTAAGTCAGCGAAAGCAGCTCGAGCTTTTCGGATCCGTGCTGAGATTTCATCGCCAATCAGTCCGTTGGTGCTAATACAACTTCCCAAATAGGTGAAGTGGTCAACATGTTCTATCACTTCACTCCCTATCACTAAGCTAGGAGTTGACGTAGTCCAGTCCTGTAGCAGCATCTTACATTTTGTAGGGGCGAATCGCATGCCAAACACACAACAGTTAGTTTAAGCCAGTCAGTCAGGCAGTCAAGTAGGGAGGTGTGGACTTCCTGACTGGCTGGTTGGAGTCCTCGGGATGTTAAGAAATAATGAAGGCTGGAGACAATTGGTGATATGGCTGAAAATCCTGGTTGTCAATGGCTGTTGCTGATGCATTCACTGTGATTCGCCATATCCAATAAAACTCTATGGTTCTTCTATATTGCTGAACTTCTTCCTTCATTCATACTTCTGTTTATAATCTCTCCCTGTTTTGAATCTCTCTTTACTCTCTCCTCTTGCTATGTGTGCTGCACTACATGGAGGGAGTGTAGCAACTCGAACTTCATATTTTATCTTTGAATCGGTTGGAAAAAGTCATGTTCGACTTGTGATAAAAAATGTCAATTTGACTTCATTTAAAATAAAAGCAAAATTAGACTTTCAATTTTCAGGTAAGTAAATGCCAAGTGATCAAATCCGAGACGTGTATCTATAAATCTTCATGCTAGTGAATGTGGTCGAAATAGGACAAAAGTATCCATTGATGTAGATGTACATTTTGAGTCAATTTTACTTCACTTGTTCGTGAAATTACTGTGCCGTAAAATTTTTCTCAATGGCTCAGAGATTACATTCACACCTTATGTGATCTCATACAATCTATTAAACCCTGATGTTTTTGTATTTCTTTCATGTTATTATTCTTTCTTTTTTCCTTTCGCGTACATTTCTGCTCATTTTTATAGCTCTTTCGAACTTTCTTCGTCTCTCTCTTTTCCCTACCTCTGTGTGTATGCGTGTGTACTACATGGAGTGTGACAATTTAAAAGACTGCTGTAATTCTGTGCAAAAAGTTCTACAGTTGAAACTCATTTAGCTAGAAGTTGTTATAATGGCAGTGGGCAGGGAGTGGGGTAAGGGTGGCAAGCAAACAAACACAATCTCTCAAATAATATAAATGCTCATTATTCGCGACAATAAGTGTATTTATTTTCTTATCATTTTGTTAGATAGCATCAACATGAACCTGTACTCATGCAATGAGTTTATTCAAACTATCCTTTTTTTCTTGGATTGTCTATAAACTACAATATGTGCAAATCCAAAGCATATCTCATGAGCTATTCTTTTTAAGTGAATTACTTCTAAATATGGTGAAATATCGTGCTTATGAATATATATATATATATATATATATATATATATATATATATATATGTATTTTTAGATGTTAGATAAACATGAAAGTTACTTCTTCTGACACGTTTATCAGGTTATCATAACTGGATTAATCTTACAAAACTGTAAATGTCATATATAAGGAATGAATAAAGTTAATAAACGAAATGCAATTTTAAGATCTAATTACCCTGACATTTTACGTAGTATTTTCCTAGTTCACTTTGAATTTTGAATTCATCATGTCTTTGATTGTCTGTCGGTTTGAGTCAGCTATGTCGAGAGAGGTTTTTAGCAGTTCGCTTCGTCTTTTTTTTATGGCTGTGACATCTGGCCATTGAGAGTGGAAGATATGAAAAGCCTAACTAGCTGTCTCCGATCATAGGTGCCTGCATTCTATCTCTCGTATTAATTGGTAATAATAGGGTCAACAATATTGAGGTTAGGCTTCGGTCGAGTGCTGGGTGAGTTGAAGGAAAAATCAATCGACGAGGCTGTATAGAAGTTACATCGACTGAAATGGTTAGGACATGTGTTAGGCATGCCTAGCCATCGCCTTCCTCGACAGACAGACAGTGTTAGCTGACGTGGGATGGATCATGTCGGAAAAGAGCTAGTGGTGGGTTGTCAGACGAAAGCATAGTTTCGTCAGTCAATGAAATCCACAGCAGTTCGTTTAAGCCACGTAGGAAGGTGTAGACTTCCTGACTGGTTGGTGTCCTCGGAACGGTAAAACCCGATGGCTGGAAATAGCTGTTGATATGGCTTGAAATCTATGCATCCACTCCTTGTGACTTATATCCAATAAAACTATGTTGTTCTTCGATATTACTATTCTCTTTGCCTTATCTCTTTGTTTAGTGTCTCTATTTTGCATTTCTTTTTATTTTCTTCTCTCTCTTTGTGTACTACACAGAGGGACTGTGGCGAGTTGAACTGCTGCACACATCGATGCAAAGTTCTATGTTGAAATCAGTCAGTCAATCAGTCAGAGGTTTTAGATTACCTGCTTCTTAGTACTTGGAATGCTAAGAACTAGTAGTCTGAGACTGTCGATAATATATGGCTTGAAACCTGTGTCAGTGACAGACGCATTCATTCTTTGATATCTCCCAGATCTAATATAAATCCTCAAGTTTTTGCATGTTACTATTCTTTCTCCCATGTGCATTTCTGCTCACAATTGTTCCTTTAGATCTCTGTTTTCTCTACCTTTGTGTGTCACATAGAGTGTAACAAGTTGAACTGCTGCTTCACTTCTGTGTGAAATTCTACGTTGAAACTCATAGTCGTCAGTAGCTGCCTCTACTGTGTTCAGACTTATCATTAGGACTCTGTGACTGTTTATTAAAGCTTTAATATTTCAGGGTATGGTCCCAAAGGTTATGAAATACTCGTAAAATATTAAACACAGACATTATCAAAATAAGACCTATCTGAATATCACCTCAAAAGGAAAACCTACAATTTCCCTGCATAGCTCAACTCCAATGAATTACACCTAACTCGATATGCATTTAACAATTTCATGTCGAAAATGGTGTTGGAAGTTAAAAGACGGTTGCAGCAAAGAAATTTTTTTCTCCGATGAAGTCATCAACTAGATAAGTGTAAATTGATGTACGTATATATATATATATATATATATAGTGAAGAGGTGGGAAATTTCCAGGACTATTTCCAGTCGAGGGGATAGTTAGGACATGTGTTACGTATGCCTAGCCTAGCCATCGCCTTCCTCAATGGGCAATGTTAGCTGACATAGGGTGGATCAGGTTGGAAAATAGCTAGTGGTGACCAAACTAAAACATGACACCAGTCACTGAAATCCAAAACAGTTAGTTTAAGCCACGTAGGAACGTGTAGACTTCCTGACTGGTTGGGGTCCGCGTGATGGTAAAAACCAATGGATGGAAACAGTTGGTAACATGGCTCAAACTCATCGTTCTCAATGACTGGCGCTGATGCATCTACTCCTTTTGACTTATGATTTCAAATGAAACTGTATTGTTCTTCGTTATTACTATTCCATGGTCTCATCTCACGCCTCTGTTTACTGTCTCTATTATGCATTTCTTCTACTTTCTTCTGTTGCTTTGTGTGCTACACGGAGGGAGTGTGGCGACTTGAACTGTCGCACATCGGTGCAAAGCTCTACGTAGAAAACAGACAGACAGACGAGGGGGAAATTATAACGAATAACAAGATTATAAATAAGGATAAAAGAATGAAAGAATAATAACATAAATAAACAAGATGTTTGGGATAAGAAAGATAATTGGATAATAATTACTGAGAAAATTGACTGTTAGTGATGATCATGCTGTAGATAAAAGTTAGTGTCGACTTGAATTTTTTTTGCATCGCTTGTGCTTCAGCTACGCTCAGATGTCATGATCTCACTCCGTTTAAGAGGTTCAATCACCTAGTCTATAAGACTTTGAAGGACTTTTCAAATGGGAGCTGAGTGTTCTGAGTTCACTAGATAGACGTTCTGTTGCCAAGCTACAGACACATATGCGTTATTTATTTGCTAGCTAGGCTGAATAGTGTTCCGGTGATAGATAAGAAGTAATGTAGCTTTCCCGTTTTACTAGGAGAAAAATTTGTTTGTCATACACTTATTTTTTACTGACAAAATGAATTCATTTCGTGGACCTCTTCATTTTAAATATACTTCTGCTTTATTCACAGGTATGGATATGTCAATTTTGGTGTTTTTAAAATTATCTCTCCCCCGCTGACACATGTGAGCACTTCTCGTTCAACTGCTAGTACTCATACAACACCTATAGAAACTGAAAAACCAGAGGTTCATTTAACTCCTCGACGAGCTGCTGCAGAAAAAGCTTTAGCTGCAACACGACGTACCAGCGCTTCACCTAACAATAGTGCAGTGACAATTACCTCATCATCCTCCTCATCATCATCATCCTCAGCTCCGTCGTCATCGTCTTCATCAGTGCCCCATTTTATCATAATTGGTGCTGGGATATCTGGCTTGATTGCAGCAAGACAACTGACCTATTTCGGTGCAAAAGTTACCATTTTTGAATCTCGGGTATGTGTCTCTAATTTTGTTTGTTTGTTTGTTTATTTTCTTCTTCCTCTGTTTCTTGCTTGGCAAAATATTTTTCTCGTTTTGGTTTGACGAATTTCATCAGTACTACTTGTGCTAATCAGAACATATTGTCCAAATGTAAGATGATGTTACGGGACTGGACTGGACTACACTGACTCCTAATTTAGAAATAAGCAGGAGTGAAGTGGTAGAGCACGTTGACCGCTTCACTTATTTGGGAAGTTGCATCAGCTAGTGCCAACGGGTTGATCTCTTACGAAATCTCAGTACGGATACAGAGGGCTAGTTTCGCATATGACAGTTTACGCCGTCTCTGGCTTAGTAGACGTGATATCCGACTGGCTGGCTATCGACCAAAGGGCGTGTGTACTGCTCAGCTGTCCGCTCCATCCTCCTTTATGGCTGGCTGTGAGACCTGGCCATTGAGAGTGGAAGGCATGAAAAGGCTGGCTAGCTGTCTTTGATCATAGGTGCCTGCGTTCTATCTCCCGTGTGTGACCTGGTATAATAAAGTGAGCAATATTGAGGTTAGGCGTCGGTCGAGTACTAGGTAGGTGGAAGGGTAAATCTATAGACGTGGCTGCGAAATTACATCGACTGCGATGGTTAGGATATGTGTTACGTATGCCTAGCCCAGTCATCGCATTCCTCGACGACAGGCAATGTTAGCAGACATAGGGTCAGGCTGGGAAAGAGCTAGCTGGTGGTGGTCAGACCAAAACGTGGCTTCGTCAGTCAATGAAATCCACAACAGTTAGTTTAAGCCAGCCAGTCACGTAGGAAGGTGTTGACTTCCTGACTAGTTGGGCTCCTCGAGGCGATTAAAACCGATGAAGGCTGGAAACAATTAGTGATATGGCTCAAACTCATCGTTCTCAATGGCTGGCTGGCGCAGATGCATCCACTCCTGGTGACTTATGATTTCCAGTGAAACTATATCGTTCTTCGTTATTACTACTCCTTTGTCTCACACCTCTGTTTATATTCTCTATTATGCATTTCAACTACTTTCTTCTCTTGCTTTGTGTGGTACACGGAGGGAGTGTGGCGAGTTGAACTGCTGCATATATTGGTGCAAAGTTCTATGTCGAAAACAGACAGACATTGTCTAAAAGATATGCCGAAAAAAATTCTGATGCATTGGATGCACTCTGAGAATTCCGTAGAGTGACATCACACACCAAACCAATCTTCTAGTGAAACTCGAATCGAAATTGATGAGTTGAGCCTCTGTCCGAGGATGACTTGGAGTAAGTCGTCTGAAGAAGATATGAAAGCTTATGGACTATCGTGGAGACAACTAAAGAGAACTGCGAAGGACAGGACAATATGAAGATGTTCTTTTGAAGACCTATGTTCCACTGGGAACTTAGAGGGGTTTAATGATAACAATGTTAGGAAAAAGTATAGGTTTCTTTTGAAGTCATTAAAAGCAACCTAGGTGATAGATAAAGTTCAGCTTGTGAACTGCAACACTACATAGTTTAGTATGGCGTCAAGCTAACGATTTACTTCCTTGCTTCCTTCCTGTTCAAGCTTTGAACATAGAAGTGTTAGTAGCTGTAATGATATTGCTTGCTTTTACGTAGTGAGGTTGCTAACCTCACTTATCCAGCCTCCCCTATTCACCTAACTTACTACATGTCTAGACGAGGTTTTCAGAAATGCGTCACCGGGCTGAAATTCTATCCCCGGATCATCGACTGCGGCACCGTTGGCGAGCATATCCTACCAGTAAACCAACAGTCATTATATTTCTTGACCTAAAGGCAGCATTCGACTCTGTCGATCGAGAAGTTCTTTGGAGATGCTTGGCTGTAAAGGGAATTCCGAGAAAATATATTGCACTGATTAAGGCACTCTACTCGTACTCATACAGCCAGGTGAGGGCTTACGGCGAGCTGTCATCTGAACTGGTGACGACCAGTGGTGTCCGTCAAGGATGCCCATTATCCCCTTTTCTATTCAACTTCATCATAGATGTGTTAATGGACTTAACCCTAAGTGACTTCAGCGACTCAGGGATTGACTTGCTACCAGGGAATAATCTCGTTGACTTGGAATATGCAGACGATATAGTCCTTCTAGGCGAAGACGCCGACGAAATGCAGAGTCTTCTGAACACCCTGAGCTGTAATCTACGAATGTTTGGCATGCGATTCGCTCCCGCCAAATGTAAGATGATGTTACAGGACTGGACTACATCGACGCTTAGTTTAAAAATAGGAAGTGAAGTGGTAGAGCACGTTGACCGCTTCACTTATTTGGGAAGTTGCATCAGCTAGTGCCAACGGGTTGATCTCTGACGAAATCTCAGCACGAATACAAGGGGCTCGTTTCGCATTTGCCAGTTTACGCCGACTCTGGCGTAGACGAGATGTTCGGCTATCGACCAAAGGGCGGGTGTACTGCTCATCAGTCCGCTCCGTCCTCCTTTATGGTTTTGAGACCTGGCCACTGAGAGTGGAAGACATGAAAAGACTAGCTGTCTTTGATCATAGGTGCCTGCGTTCTATTTCCCGTGTAAAGTGGCATAATAAGGTGAGCAACATTGAAGTTAGGCATCGAGTGCTAGGTAAACAGGGGAAATCAATCGACGAAGTCGTGAAGCTACATCGACTGAGATGGTTAGGACATGTGTTACGTATGCCAAGCCATCGCCTCCCTCGACGAGCAATGTTAGCGGATATAGGGTCAGGCTGGAAAAAAGCTAGCGGCGGTCAAACAAAAACTTGGCTTCACCAGTCAATGAAATCCACAACAGTTGGTCTAAGCCACGTAGGAAGGTGTAGACTTCCAGGCTGGGGTCCTCGGGACAGTAAAAATCTATGGTTGGAAACAATTGGTGACATGGCTCAAAATCGTTCTCAGTGGCGCAGATGCATCCACTCCTTGTGACTTATGATCTCCAATGAAACTGTTTTGTTTTTCTTTATTACTCCTTTGTCTCACACCTCTGCTCACTGTTTCTATTATGCTTTTCTTGTACTTTCCTCTCTTGCTTCGCATGCTACACGGAGTGTGGCGACTTGAACTTCCGCACATTTTTGTATAGTTCTATGTCGAAAACAGACAGACAGACAGACCAGTAAACCATAAAACAACTTTGTTTGGAAGTACCTTTATTACTTAGTGAGAAATTTTCTTGTTTTAATGGTGTTTTTAACTTCCATTTTTGTCTCTATGACCATTTTTGGAATGATGGTTATTACTAGTATAGTGGGTGAGAGTAACAACCATGGGTGAGCGTTGAGTATGCTTAGCCAATGATAATAAAGTTCTACCTCTTACATATGAAAGTGTTCATAATTGTAGTTCCAACTGGCAGTGCCTTTAAATCCATCTGTAGGTCTTTGGTCTCGCCCAGGATTGAGTCATAGGTTCAAACTTTGTTCCCTTTAGCTAAGTTTTAACAGACGAGAAGCAGTAGTAGAATTTATTAACCTTTAGACAATAAATGTTACATCATTGGCACCTTTTTATTTCTTGTGTTCCAAGTAGAGTTTAGGGTTTCAATCTTTAAAGTTTCGGTTTTTTTTACGGGATGGGATTGTTTGCTCCACGCCTATCCTTTTATCTTTTTCCGGGCTTACTACCTGCCGGTAGACCGACCAATAGTTGCTACCTTGACTTGGTGGTCGGGTTTGCACATCTCAATGACCCAACAAGCTATACTGGCTGGAACTACTGTTCCTACAGGTCCTATCATGCCAGGAAGGTTGTTAGGATAGCGATTAGACCAAAAGCAGTTACCGGCATAGTGTAAGAATTTTGTTTTTCAGTATGCTGGGGGTCTGTGAGCGAAGTCGTAGTGCTGGGGAACAGGGGTGCAACAGCAGTGAGTTGTTTCCCTCAGATGACCAGCATACCAGCCAGCTATGCTGTCTCTTCACTCTCAAGAGAGGGGGTTAGAAAAGGTCAGCCTCAAAAATTGTACATCCCGACTTACCCTACGGTAGTCCATAACCGGCGCTAAGTTCACTAATACGGAACCAAACCAAGAAACCAGTTCATACAGGCCATGTGTGACCGGCCTGGCTCAAGCAGTTGTCCTCTGGGCTCTGCAGTCACGCAACACTAACCCTCTTTCTGTTTTAGGTACCTGAAGAATCAATCAATTTCCATGGTGTAGGCAACCGGGAAGTAACAACCGACCACACACTTCCAAGAGCATACGAAGCCGTTCTGAGCATCATTCTGTAGACTAGGTGAGGTTCAGGAATGAGTCAGCTGATGAGAATCGAACCTAGACTTGCTTCGTTGCCTAGTATACAAATGTACACACATTCATCTATCTGTGTCAGAACTTTTTAGTTAGTTATTGTCGAGGATATTCGGTGTTTACCTGAATTAAGTGGATCTCTTCATTTCATTTTCAGGATCGTGTTGGAGGTCGAATATGGACTTATAGAAAGAATGGATGTCACGCTGAACTAGGCGCAATGGTTGTTACAGGTTTAGGTGAGTATTCATTGTCATTATTACTGCTTATATATATATATATATATATATATATATATATATATATCACAGCTCCTACCAGGTAAGTCCTATCCCCCGCCTTCACGCGACAGTAGAGGTGTTCCTCACAAAAGTGAAAGCGCGAATGAGAACGTCTGGTGCTCTTACAACTGAACTCATGGGCTAGCCAGGTAGGTCTATCTGGCTAGGGGAGCTGGAAGACCCTGATTCTAAACCTATACTGTGTGTGTGTGTACATGGACACCAAAATCCCAACGGATTGTGAATGTTAAATGAACCTGGTTTGGTGGTCACTGGGAACCATGGGAACGCTGCTCCACTTACCTCACATTCCTGTTTATTACCTCTCCTTTGAAGAGTGGCAACTTGAACTGCTGCACATCTGCGCAAAGTTCTACGTTGAAAGCAGTCAGTCATACAAATACAGTACGCCTAAACAAAGAATAAAGCAATTCATTCTGACTGGTTACATTAGGTGCTAAGTTGTAGAGTAAAATTGTCCCATCAATATAATGGCATAAATCTTTGATTCCAACAGCCCATAACAGAAAATGTTGACTCAGAATTTTATTAATAAATCAAATTAATATGTCATGTGAGGCTTTGCCACATTGGCCTAAGCACTAGACTCCCTCAACCAGTCGCTCCTGAGATTGAGTTCCCCTCACATACTTCAGCCTGGACAATCGGGCAGTATTATCATTAGAGGGGCCTTACATAATAATTGTGTGGCCCACAGCCTAGAATATGAAAATCTGTCCCAGTGATTTAGTCGTAGAATGCTTGCCAACCACGGATGTGGTTCAGGGGTCGACACCTGACCGGCGCATTCAAAAACGGTGACTAGTCCTACTGGTCGATAGGTAAGGGTGAGGGCAAGGTTAGCAACCCTGCCCTTAAAAACAACATAAGGGCTAGTTAAATGCCAGGGTTTCATGCCTGAATCCTTACGTTCTACTCAAAGGATCTCAAAGGAATGGAAGACAACCATTTCTAACAACGCAGTCTGTTACGTTTCATCTGTTGTGTAGACTAAAAGAAACTGCTATAGTGAGTTGTAAGCTAGCATTTCATACAGCCAGTTCCCTTGATTACCTACCTTATGAAAAGTCGCGAAATAAAGCAGTATAAGCTATTTTCACCCTGTATTAAATATGTTCATTCTATCATTATTCAAATGTTTGATTTTTCAGAAGTTCTCTAGTTGATTTCATTATATGACAAAAACTTCTTTAGAGACAGTTGAATACTTCAGTTGAGAAAGTAAATTTCTCTTTTTTTTTCTTCACATATCAGTTATCTTTCTGAAACTAGTTGGAAAGATGTTTCTCTATGATAGACCTCATTGCTAAATAATCAACATTAGTTTAAAGTGTTATTGTAAATCTCGTCATCAACTAACACGAGTTAGAGATCTTTAGAAATCAGGGAGCACTGGACGGTTGTTTCGTCCTACTTTGGGACTCTTCAGCAAAGTGAGCTAACCATGACATTACCTACAAGGGATCGAACCCAGGAACTTCTGGTTATGTGGCCAAGCGCTTTTTGACCACTCAGCAACCGTTCGGAGAGAAATTCTATGTCCCGTATATTCGAATCTCTGTCAATTGGTGATACACATAGTTCTACCCTTCGATGAGCGTCCACTTTACCTTGACATGGTTTGAAGTATTCACCGGAGTCTGTTGGTGAAATTTCTACCCTATTTTTTACTGTAATAAGTAGTACAGTGAATTATCTAACAAATAACTGGAAAGAATCAATAGAAAGCTTTCTACAGTGTTGCTAATCGCATTTCAATTGTGGTAGTGCTGAACAGTGAGGGTAACATTTTATGGTTTATTCATTAGCCTACTTATATTATTTATCATTAGTATATGACAAAATTAAAAATTTTCAGTAACTGAGTAATCATTTGGTGTTCAAATTAATGAGTGCTGAGTGTACTAGGGTGCAAAACTTTGGGCATTCAGTATTCCCTATATATTCATTCTCACCCCTCTTGTCTCATACGGACATAAATTTATTTATGCCCGTTACACCACAACCCTTTTTCTTTCTCTAAATATGCCGAATTCAGCGCGAATATCTAATTTCATCAGTTAGTATGAATAATTCATGAGATTGGTTACTGTTTACCACTTCAGTAGTTCAAAATGTTTGTCATAAAACTATCCTCTTATTAACGAAATAATAAGACTAGCAAGATTTCTTTATGGATGTGAGATGTGGCTATTGAAAAGCCTGACTAACTGTCTTTGATCCTATGTGTATCTGTATTCTATCTCCCGTATTAAGTAGTATAATATAGTAAGTAGTTATAAGGTTAAGTGTAGAGTGTTAGACGGGGCGAGTAAATTAATCGATAAGTTTGTGAATCTATATCGATTGAGATAACTGGAATGCGTGTTGCTCATTCCGAGCTACTGCCAGCCTCAATGAGCTGACTGACTGACTGGCTTCAGCATAGAACTGGGCACAGATGTGCACCAGTTCGAGTTGTCACTCTCACTCCATGTAGTGCAGCACAAAAAGCAAGAGAAGAGAGTGAAGAGGGATTCAATGGGGAGAAATAAACAGAAGTCTGAGTGAGGGAAGAAGAATAGTAATATGGAAAAACAATAGAGTTTTCAGGATTTCATCATGAGCTGACATTAGTTAGAGAACCATTGGAAAACCTGGGAGTACTGGACAGCTGTTTCGTCCTAGTTTGGGACTCTTCATCAGTACGCACCCACCGGGATTCGAACCCAGGACCTTCCGGTTACAAGGCGAGCTCGTATACCATTAAGCCACTGGAACCCGATCCAATGGTCCTTGAATTCTAACTTCTGCCAATTCACGACATAGCGCGACCGCTAGCCAATGTCTTCGGTGGCGAGTATTTGTCCTCACACCCGACCAGCTGCACCCTACTGGTCACGACTTCCCACTGGAACCCAGGTAACTACCTACCTGAATAGGGCCAGTCGCCAGTGAGCATCTTATTGGTATTCAAGTGTTGGGTTTTCAATAGAGTTTTATTGGATATGGCCAATTACAAAGAGTAAATACATCTGCGCCAGCCATTGACAATGAGGATTTTGAGCCATATCACCAATTGCCTCCAGCCTTCATTGGTTTTCACCATCCCGAGGATCCCAACCAGCCAGCCAGTCTACAAATCCCTATGTGACTGTCTGCCTTAAACTGTACTGGATTCCACTGACTGATGAAGCCATATTTTGATTTGACCATAATTATTAGCTCTTTTCCAACCAGATCCTGTGTCAGCTAACATTGCGTGTGGAGGAAGGTGACAGCTAGGCATGCGTAATACATTTCCTAACCATCTCAGTCGGTGTAGCTTTACAACCTCGTCGATTGATTTCCCCTCCAACTCACCTAACATTTGACCGAAGCCTAATCTCAATATTACTCACCGTAATACACCTACCACCTAACATGAGAGATACAACCCAGACACCTTTGATCGAAGACAGTTAGTCAGCCTTTTTATATCTTCCACTTTCAATGACCATGTTTCACAGCTAGCCATAAAGGATAAGCAGAGCGAACTGTTAAGCAGTAGATACATCCATCCTTTTGATCGATAGTCAACTGGATATCATATCTAGACCATAGATTATGTAAGTTGGAAAATACTAAATGAGCCTTCTCTATCCATGCTGTGATTTAGTCAGTGATCAACCTTCTGGGACTGATGCAAATTCCCACCCAAATAAGTGAAGTGGTCAACACACTCTACCACTTTTCTCCTTATCTTAAAGCTGAAAATCGATGAGCAATGTTAGCTGACATAGAATTAAGCTGGAAAAAGTTACAAGTAGTCAAATCTTAACCCAGTATCAGTATGTGAAGTCTTTGACAGTTGGTTAGGCAGCCAGTCACGCAGAGATGTGTAGACTACCTACCTGGTTGGAATTCTTGAAATGGTAAAAAGCAACGTTTTGAAAAATGTTGATGATCTGCCTCTCAAAATTGTTGTCAATGCATTCTGTCTGTCTGTCTGTCTGTCTATCTTCGACATAGAACTTTGCACTGATGTGCACCAGTTCAAGTCTCCACACTCCCTCCGTGGTGCACACAAAGCAACACAAGAAAGTAGAAGAAATGGATAATACAGACAGTAAACAGAGGTGTGAGATGAGACAAAGGAATAGTAATAACGAAGAACAATATAGTTTCATTGGGAATCATAAGTCACAAGGAGTGGATGCATCTGCGCCAGCCAGCCATTGAGAACGATGAGTTTGAGCCATATCACCAATTGTCTTCAGCCTTTATTGGTTTTTACCGTCCCGAGAAAGCCAACCAGTCAGGAAGCCAGTCTACACCTCCCTACGTGACTGACTGGTTTAAACTAACTGTTGTGGATTTCATTGACTGATGAAGCATGTTTCGGATTGACCGCCGTTAGCTCTTTTCCAACCTGACCCTATATCATCTAACATAGCTCGTCGAGGAAGGCAATGACTAGGCATACGTAACACATATCTTAACCATCTCAGTCGATGTAATTTCACAGCCTACCTCTATATTGCTCACCCTTTATACCACTTCATACGGGAGATAGAACGCAGGCACCTATGATCAAAGACAGCTAGCTAATCTTTTCATGTCTTTTACTCTCAGTGGTCAAGTCTCACAGCCAGCCATAAAGGAGGACTGATGAGCAGTACACCCGCCCTTTAGTCGATAGCCAGCCAGTCGGATATCCCGTCTACTAAGCCAAAGACGGCGCAAACTGTCATATGCGAAACTAGCCCTCTGTATCCATACTGAGATTTCGTAAGAGATCAACCCGTTGGCACTAGCTGATGCAACTTCCCAAATAAGTGAAGCGGTCAACGTGCTCTACTGCTTCACTCCTGCTTATTTCTAAACTAGGAGTCAGTGTAGTCCAGTCCAGTCCTGTAACATTATCTTACATTTGGCGAGAGCGAATCGCATGCCAAACATTCGTAGATTACTGTTCCTCAAGGTGTTCAGAAGACTCTGCTGGATTTTGTTTGCCTCCTCACTTAGAAGGACTATGTCGTCTGCATATTCTAAGTTGACGAGATTATTCCCACCCTGGTAGTAAGTCAATCCCTGAGTCTCTGAAGTCAGCAGTTAGGGTTAAATCCATTAGTACATCTGTGTGATGAAATTGAATAGAAATGGGGATAATGGGCATTCCTCGCTGACGGACACCACTAGTCGTCACCACTTCAGATGACAACTCGCCGTAAGCCCTCACTTGGCTAGCTACATGAGTTCGAGTAGAGTGAGTGCCTTGATCTGTGCAATATATTTTCTCAGCATTCTTACAATTGTTGAAAATTATGTTAAGCCACATCACCATTAGCTCATATCTATTGATTTTTAGTGTTTCAGAGACACCACCTAGTTAGTTAGTCTACACCTCCGTAATCCTTTGTCAGCTAATATTGCCAGATGAAGAAGGCGAAGAAGTGGTGTGTGTGCAATTTATATTCTAGCCATCTTGATCAATGCAGTTTCGAAGTTAGAATTCATGGACGACAGTGGTTGTGAATGGTCTACGAGCTTTTCTTGTAACCGGGAGGAGTCCTTGAGTTTGTATAACCTATGTGTCTCAAATTCAGCAGCGGACTTGATGACACCACTATGGGAGAAGGTGTGGAAAGAAGGCAACGTACCCGAGGATTGGCAGAAGGCTACTTATTCAAACTGCCAAAGAAAGGAGACTTAAGTCAATGCAAGAACTGGCTCGGAATTATGCACCTGTCCATCCCAAGCAAAACACTAAGCCGCATCATCCTGGAGAGAATCAATCAACCTGGATGAAAAACTTCGACCGGAACAAGCTGGATTCAGGAGAAACAAGTCATGTATTGATCAAATCGCCACACTACGGATCATCACTGAACAAAGCTTAGAAAGACAGTCACCTCTCTATCTCAACCTCATCGACAGCGTCGATCGAGTAGTCATTTGGCAACTACTTCGCTACTACGGGGTCCCATTGACAAATATACAGCTCATCCAACAGTTATACGACAATGCTACATGCCAATTAATCCACAACGGGAAACTTACGGAAGCCTTCGAAGTGAGGACGGGAGTGAGGCAAGGCTGTCTACTATCGCCAATGATTTTCCCGATTGCGGTAGATTGGATAATGCGACAAACAGTGGGAAGCGAGGAAAGAGGCATGAAACGGGCCCTCATGAGAAAATTGGAGGATCTGGACTTCGCCGATGATATATGCCTGATTTCCCACAAACTGGAAGATATGCAAGTGAAAAGCAACAAGTTCGCAGAAGAAGCATCCAGAGAAGATAGGACTTCAGGTGAACATAGAGAAAACATAGGTTATGAAAATTCCTGGCCAACACCACCAACAGAAACAACAACAGACAAGAATCAGCATAAATGGGAGGAACCTGAAGGAAACAACCTCCTTTATCTACGGACCGCCCAGGGAAGCATCGTTTCAGCTACAGGTGGACGGAACTGATGAGGATATCAAAGCAAGGATCGGGAAAGTAAGACAAGCTTTCATTACTCTTAAGTCTGTGTGGAGGTCAACAGCACTTAGCATGAAAGATAAGATCCGGATTTTCAACTCCAATGAGAAGTCAGTCAGTGCTACTATATGGATCAGAGACTTGGCGCGTCACAAAGAGCACCTCAAGCAAACTACAGACCTTCATCAACAGCTAACTGTCTTCGCTCAATACTCAAGGTCAGATGGCCTGCCAGAAAAGATCAGCAACAGGGATCTCTGGTAGTGAGCGAACCAACCCAACAGGAACCGATTGTGAAACAAATAGGCAGGAAGAAATGGAGGTGGATTGGCTGGCCATCCTCTGAGGAAACAAACCATCAAGTGACATCACTCTACAGGCCATCGCTCGAGTGGAACCCGAAGGAGAAGCGGCGAGTTGGTCGTCCCACGGTGGGGTGACTTGGAGGAGGTGATGTGAAGAGGAGCCAGGTGAAAACTTTGGCGGAGAACGGAATGCAATGGAGACGTGCAGCTGAAGCCCTATGTTCCTCTAGGAAATAAATGAAATAATAATAATATGTGTCTCAAGTGTGGATGAAATAGCTGTCCACTCCCCTCTTCTAACTTTCAACAGTTCTCTAGCTAATATCAATCCGTCGTCAGAATTGAAACAGTTTATATCTCCCCCCTGGAAACTAACTCTTCAAAAAACCGTCTTTATCATCTAATGCTGTATTCTGTTTTTTCTTTCTTTTTCAGCCGCTAATCCTGTCACTGTATTAGTTCGTCAACTGTCATTAAATCTCCTACCGATCAATACAGAATGTTCATTATACGGTCCACAAGGTCATCCAATAAATCATGATATTGATGAAGAAATTGAAGAAGAATTCAATCGTCTTCTTGGTACAGCTGCTTATATTTGTCATACTAAAGGAATAGATTCAAAATGTCTTGATTCTGGTGTTGAAAAACACTTCTCATTAGGTCATATGGTTGAAACACTAATTGCGTAAGTCTTGTCTTGTCTTGGGTATTGATGTATTTATTGATTCATTATACATTATTGTTCCCTTGAGTTCCGAGTGGAACTTGGGGGGGGGGCTTCAATAGCACACTTTGTCCTATTTTCTGCAACCCTCTTTAGCGCTGGCCTTACGACTTTTCATGATCTCTCATCATCTCCTCCTCCATGTTACCCTCGAGGTGATGCCCCACTCGTCGTCTTGTTATTATTATCATCATCATCATCGATTTATTAGTACTGATGGATAGGCGTTAAAGATTCGACTTCTGTCTCTTTTCAGAAATGAAGGAATCAGGCTAAATAGGCAATAGAATTCCTTCTCATTGGATGAATGGTTAACGAGCAACGGTTCTGGGTTCGATCCCTGACGGGAAGGATCAAAGGTGTATGGTGCTGAAGAGTCCCAAAGTAGGACGAAACAGCCCTATCTGTCTCTCATTGATATCAATCCCTGGTCGAACAAATCAAATCCCTACAAACTAATCTTAATGGCCAAATTTATTCGACTATGGTCTGAACGCAAGAAACCGATTTCTACATTCTGCCGTATGTATATCCGACAAAACTTCCACTGAGAAATGCGCTATCAGAAAATGTCGCAAAGGGTAGGGAAAAGACGACTATTCTTCTGAACAGTAATAACTTCAAAACGCAAGTCTACCTCAGCAGTGCAGTGACGGGGGGTAGCTAGCTATACCGGTAATGTAGGTTTCTAAATACAAAACAAAGTGTACTGTAAGGCAAAATTAGCTAGCCAAAGTTCAATATTACCTTAGAATTGAGGAGGGGAATGTTCCCAACGAGTTGGGATCGAAGGCTGTGTCCACAAGCATCACAAACCAAGTGTTCCTTCAGACAGTCCTGGGTCAGAATGACCCTCATTCATTCAAACACACTCATATGGTTAAATAACACGTTGAAAAAGAGACATTCAGCGAAGGGACTCTTTTCGACGGCGAATTCATTCACATTACTGTACAATCGCATTTATATATAATTATTTGTCTGTCTCTCTGTGTGTGTGTGTGTACATGAGGTTTGTCAAGTTTAGATAATTGATCAGGTAATAAAAGAGTGATCTAATATAGAAATAAGGTTAATCAGACAGCAACTGAAGTAAGATTGAGTTAGTTAGTAAGTTAGATGACGTGATATAATTGACTAAAATGTTTCAACTTAGGTCAGGATAGAAACAGCGATAATTACAAGTAGAGACTAAGTAGAATTGGGATAGAGAATAATGACATTTAAATTAGAACTGAAATTGAGCAAATAAGTTGGATGACGTAACATAAATGACTAGAAATTGAGCGTTGGTCAAGTCAGTATGTCGGCCGTAACCAGTGTTCGCCTTCCAAATGTATCACCCAACACTTACCAGCATGGTTTTACAAAGGAGAAAAACGATGCCTCCGTGGCTCCATCTTAGAACATCTGATAGAATCCGGACATAGAGCTACACCCCAAACAAAATTCAAATTCGTCTACAGAATATGAAGCAGTCTTTCTAAAAGTGTATTAATCAGACTTCTTCAAACTGCAGAAGCAGTGGCAATTCACTTGGTAAGTCCTGAACTCTGCATACAGAAGAAGTTCGTTCAATCACTACACTTGCAATGGACAACAAGTAAATTCTACCTAATCTTTTTTCTTTTCTGTCTGTTCATTAATATTATTTTGTCAATTCAATTGTAATATTTTACATTTTCAACTTTCTTGTTCTCTAACCCTACTCCATTCAATTTCTACACCTTATTACCCTTGTTGCTGACCTGACCAACGCTCAATTTCTAGTCATTTATGTTATGTCATCCAATTTATTTGCTCAATTTCAGTTCTAATTTAAATGTCATTATTCTCTATCCCAATTCTACTTAGTCTCTACTTGTAATTATCGCTGTTTCTATCCTGACCTAAGTTGAAACATTTTAGTCAATTATATCACGTCATCTAACTTACTAACTCAATCTTACTTCAGTTGCTGTCTGATTAACCTTATTTCTATATTAGATCACTCTTTTATTACCTGATCAATTATCTAAACTTGACAAACCTCATGTACACACACACACACAGACAGACAAATAATTATGTATAAATGCGATTGTACAGCTATGTGAATGAATTCGCCGTCGAAAAGAGTCTCTTCGCTGAACGTCTTCTCTCTTTTTCATATGACTCAATGGGGATTTTCAAGCTACTCAAATGACATGTTGTCAACGTACACACAACCACAAAGAGAAGTATTACAATTACAGACTAAGGACAAAGGCAATAAATAATCAAGGTCAAAATCAACGTGTGATATGCAAATGTCAAATTAATGATACACAATCTAGAGGATAGTTGAATGCTTCTAAATGTGCATAAATAGCATAAGTAGATCGTCCAGGAGGGATTTTTCCAAACAATTTGTCCATTCCACTAACATCTGAAGATATTTAAGAAGCGGAGACGCTGGAGAGGTGCCCGTACTAGAGGAGCTGTGAGAAAAGACTTTGGATTTTATTCCAGCATAAAAAAAAATCATTCACTGGGAAGTATATGAAAAAAAAGAAAAAGCAAAACACACATAGTTCAGCGAAGAAACTCTTTTCGGTGGTGACGAATTCGTAATCATATACACTGTGTCAACACTGGTCATTCCTTTGGAACAAACGCCTCCCCGTCCTCCTTCAAAGTAATCTGCAAAGTGAAAAACAACCATGTCATAAAAGCAATATGCTTTCGCCTCCTCTCCGTATTGCCGAAGCTGTAGCCATTCAGATAGAGAAAACCGGAGCTGTGCATACAAAAGAAAATTATCCAACCACTTCTTCCATCCTAATGACAACCTTATTGATTTCTACTAGCTTGATTGTTTTTCTAACCTGAATGTAATTCCGTATTTTTCAAAAGAATGGATACTGAACAACGAGTACTCTTTTCGATAACGCCTTCTTCTTCATCATCATCATCAGGCTCTACAGTTATATATCCATCCATTATAGTGAATGCATGAATGAATTAGTCTGTCTGTCTGTCTGTTTTCGACATAGAACTTTACACAAATGTGCGGCAGTTCAAGTCGCCACACTCCGTGTAGCACGCGAAGCAAGAGAAGAAAGTACAAGAAAAGCATAATAGAAACAGTGAGTAGAGGTGTGAGACAAAGGAGGAGTAATAACGAAGAACAAAACAGTTTCATTGGAGATCATAAGTCACAAGGAGTGGATGCATCTGCGCCAGCCACTGAGAACGATTTTGAGCCATGTCACCAATTGTTTCCAACCATTTGTTTTTACCGTCCCGAGGACCCCAGCCTGGAAGTCTACACCTTCCTACGTGGCTTAGACCAACTGTTGTGGATTTCATTGACTGGTGAAGCCATGTTTTTGTTTGACCGCCGCTAGCTTTTTTCCAGCCTGACCCTATATCCGCTAACATTGCTCGTCGAGGGAGGTGGTGTTTCCAACCATAGATGAATGAATTAGTGTTATGAACAACATTAACGTCGTTTAAATAACATCGAATCAATAATAATAATATCATTGGATTACAGTTCAATAGCATCAACATAACAATACACATTGAATGTCAGAAAAATTAGAAAAGATTATATTACAAATTCATGAATTTATAGTCTCTACTGAAGGCCGGTCAGGGCAGGGCAGTGGTGGTAGTGACTGGCTGGACTTGCTTCTTTTGCACACAGAGCACTGGTTGTTTGAGGCGAATTGGAATAGCTTCTGTTGTTTGGAGCATGCGGTGCTTCGATGATGTTTTTGACAATTTATTAGGCACCCCTTAGATGATGATGACAGAGAAGGATTCTTCCACGCTGGTTGGCTTTGTGACCGACCGGTTTGCACCAGATGGTCCAATATCGAACTGCTTGTTAATGGTTTTAACTACACCTTTATTTAATCATAGTGCGATATGTTCTCGAGTGAGCATGAAAAATCAAGTTCCTAGAGTAACAACCGATATAACTCGCTCCACCACAGGAGAGAGCAGTTGAATTGGCAGATACAATTAGAAGTAGTCTAGCTGGTCTAGGTACTTTATCTTTCAGTTGAGGAATCACCCCCTTCGGTTGTGTAGAGAATAATACGTGTAGTTCACCAGAGCATTAAAAGTTCTTTGAACTGATATTCTTAATCTCCTCGTAATTATCTCACTTGGTATATCGATCACCCTTGAATTATAGTTGGATAAATCAAGTAACTCAAACAACTAATACCCCGGTGTAAAAGAGGTGGCTTTTTAACATTTAATGAAACGATGGGTTCTGGGTTCGAGTCTCAGTGGGGGAACACTGTCATTCACTCACTCGGTCACTCACTGATTGGAGATTCAGGCACACCACTCAGATGACGAGTACCGAATCGGACGAAACACGTCATGCACTAAATCCCACTGCTAGTCACCTTCAACTAAATTTTAAAAAAAAAACCATGTTAATCTTCAGGTATGGCGGAAATATCTCTCCACTAAGAGGTGATCTTTCAACAAAAAATTGGATATTTGGGTACAATAAATTAGTTATTGAGTTGTACAAGTTAACTGAAACACACAGCTCCGGCTTCTTGATGCATATTGCGAGGACTTCTGCTGTACACAGAAGTCGGAAACATACTGCTTTTGATAGGTTTCTGTTGACTTTGTAAATTACTTTGAAAGAATCATTTGAGATGTTTTATGGGAGGTGTTGATGAGATGTTCAATAATGGCACTTCTGATTGAACCGGTGCCACCTCCTCTTTGCAGCCATGCTGGGTAATGTTCTCTAACACGTTTTGAAAGGATGCGCATGCAATGACCTATGTACCTAGCTCCTCACCACCAGGTGAATTGGTATATGCACATTGAACTGGTCATATGTGAGAGTTTGTCTTTTGCGTTGTTTCGAAGTATTGGACGGTTAGAGAATGTCACTCTTAGTGTTGCTGCAGGGAAGGTCTTTGTTATAACTGTAGGGAATTGAATGAAGACGTTTTCACCTTATTCTGTCTGCGCCTGAACTAATCTGTCTATCTGCTCGTCGTACCTTCCGACTTAGTAAAGCACGCAAATATGAAAAGACAAAGGCTGGACTGTGACTGTGTATTGAAGTGCAACAACGATAAAGAAAGCCATGGTATTTATACATTTTACAACAATATGGACAGCTAACAGCATTTGAAATAATTTATCTTAATAGCCAATAACAAAGTGCGTGAGAGATGATAATACACCATATGTGCGAGGTTGACAGTCAGTAACAAAATGTGTGAGAATGATAATATACCATATATACAAGATTAGCAGTCACTACCAAAATGTGTGAGAATGATAATATACCATATATACAAAATTAGCAGTCGCTACCAAAATGTGTGAGAATGATAATATACCATATATACAAAATTAGCAGTCAATACCAAAATGTGTGAGAATGATAACATACCATATATGCAAGATTAAACAGTCAATACCAAAATATGTGGGATCCTATCAGTCTTCTTTAAAGAACTGGATATTCTCCTCTTTAGGATATCAGTTGCCAAATCATACCTGAAATTCAGATTCAGATACAGCGTTTTCTTTGGCGCTGAATCGCATTCTTCTCTTTTTGATTTAGGTTTCATGTTCTTTTCGACAAATTGTGTCGGGTAACCATTATGAGCCAAGATATTTTTGAGAAATAGGATCTCCTCTTCTATGCAATTGCTGCTGCAGATTTTCCTAGTGCGATGATGAGAGCTCAAAGGTATTCAACTATAGAAGTGCGTTAGTTAGCCGTTCCGCGTCGGTTTTCTGTAGATGGACCTCTTCAGGGTTCTATCATCTCTTCTTGTTAATTCCATGTCCACTGAAATAGACGACCTTGAAGTTTGGTTTCTATATCAGTATCATCAATTTCGCAAGGGCCATCGGAACCAACGGCTTCATTTAACTTTCGTTTACATCGGAAACTCAAATTAACAGTCTGACATTTGGAAGGATTTAGTTTAAGGCCGTTACACGAAGACCATTTGCTAATTCCTGATAGAAAGCTGTTCATCTTAGCACAGTCAAGCTGGGAGTTAACAGACGTTGAAATAGTTAGATCATCGGCATACTTAACAAAGTTCATTTCATCATCAGAGTGAGGCAAGTAAGTCATGCGAGAAGAAAGAAAACAGAAAAGGAGGAAGGACAGCGCTTTGAGGGACACCAGCCTTAGTAAGCAACGAAGTGGACGACTTTCCCTGACACATGTAGTGTACTGCTTTCTTCCTGAGAAATAAAACTGCAGCCATTTGACAATCAACCCAGCAGTCAGTTTGAGTTTCACCAAGCTTGTTTAACAAAATGTCCCTAGGTGCTGACTGAGTCAAAAGCAGATGTGTAATCTAGGAAGGTGTAGAAAACAAATTTAGCCCCCTTGCCTAAGCTGGAGACAATGTTATGGTACAAGACTGCAACTGCATCTAAAGTACTTCTACTGTGTTTAGGATCTTTACAGACTTTAAGTGAAGGTTGAAGATTAAGAAAGAGTAACTTTTCCATAGCTTTTAGAAAAGGGGAGGTAATACCGTAATATCGTCTTAACTACACCTAACACAGATGCCGATGTCAAAGCCAGTCAGAATACCATTGGAAAAGTAAGACAGGCGTTCATTTCGCTGAAATCAATGTGGAAATCTGCTTCACTCAAGATGACGAAGACGATTTTCAGAGTTCTACCGAAATTCGATGAATTCGTTAAATCATCCTTCTTCTTTATTAACCATTGTTTCTTGGAGGTGTGTTGTTGAAGCCCCCCATGTTCCACGACGTGGAACTCGAGGGATCAAATAACTTTTTCAAAGTAACCAGGTATTGGCTAGTTGTAGTAATAGTAGTGTAACAACAGAAGACAAGGGCCAGGCCGGACAGATCGTTTATTAAGGAAATCAACACATATTTATATATTTTCATGTGCATTATTATCGATTATTGTTGGCAAAAAAACACAGTCTTCTGATTGGTGGTGGTTGTTTCTCACAGAAAGTTGTTAACCTTGCATCTCTTTGTGACTGTTTCCTGAATGTCAGATCATCATCTATATGCTAACTGTATCCGCCTACGCAAAATCAGGCTTTGTTCCTATTTTTCTCACGACCAATATTGGGGGCATAAACATTGACGTAAATTACTGTCTACCAACTTCGGCTAGCAGCCAGCTCTCACCACAGTAGTAGCAGTGTATAGACTTTTTTAAAGTATAACTTTTGCTCTGTCTCTTTATACTCTAGGCCCCCCATCCCACCCCCTCTCCTTTTTGTTTCATCTGTTTTAGATATCAAGACAGGCATGAAAGACAATTGATTATCAGTCATCGTAAATTATTGTGTCAATTATTAGAACGTAAAAATCGTATCCTAGATCAGGTGAGTTTGTGTTCGTGTATGTGTGTGTCTGTGAGTGGTTATATTCATAAGCTGTTTTCTTTTCAAATCGTAAGATTATTGTATGATACATGGTGAGGTGGCATAGAGGTAGAATGCTTGCCGCGCCACCATGCCCCATGTGGTTTGAGGTTCGATCTCCGGCCGCCTACGCACTCACTGCACGCGATAAGTTTCATTGATTGTTTGTTGCTTTATTCAATTCATCGTGTGAGGGCTGAGATACCGCCAGGGCGCCCAGACCGAAGCAGGTGGTTTTATTAAGGGACCAGCCCCCCGAGCCTTTGACTTGGAGTCTAATCCGCAAGGCGGCAGAGCAGCGTCAGGAGCTGCATGTGGGCAGACTTGGAGCCAGGTGTAAACTTTGGCGGAGAACCGAACGCAATGGAGACGTTTGGCTGAAGCCCTATGTTCCTCTCTTTTGTCTACTACTTTCGTGAGGACACATGAAGTGCGGCAACTTGGAGTGTAGCTGCACTTCTTTCTGTGTCAAGTTCTGTGTTGAAACGCAATCGATATTATTATTATTATTATTATTATTATTATTATTATTATTATTATTATTCTATATGTAGATGGTCATTGAACGTAAAAATATTGAAGCAGCTTTCGATAAATGGCATACAGCATCAAGTGAACTAAAGAAGCAAGAGAAGCAACAACTACAACAACATTATCAACAATCTAAAACTATTAGTAACAATAATAATAATAGTAATACTAATGATACGAAACCACGTATACGATCTGATCCTGCATCATGTTCACCGCGTTCATCAAATAATACTGAAATGGATGGAGGCAAACAAACTTCTCCTAGTAGTGGTCGTGGTACTGAATCGCCAGCTTCATCGAATGAATCACGAAAGTAAGTATTTTGAAATAATGATAATATACCTTGCCGTTGCTATGTGTTTGTGTGTCTGTCTGTCTGTCTTTCCTATTATATGCTAATTGGTGTGATTGTTTTCATCCCTTAAGTTCTAGCTAAAACAAAACTTCAGTTGTTAGGTTTACGTCACAAACCAACATCAGTTAGAAAGAACACTGGTTAACAGCTAGCTGTTTCGTCCTATTTTGGGGCTCTTCAGCAAGTCCACATCCATGGCCACCCTACCTGCTAGGGATTAAACGTGAGACCTTCAGGTTGTGAGACCGAACTTGTTAAATTTTTATCAGCCAGCTGTTCTGGAATTCTGCCAATACATGCCAATATATATATATATATATATCATGTTTCTTGAAAAAAATTCATTAACAGCTGTGTTGTTGGGGTGGTAACAAAGGAAAATTAGTAATAGTTACGTAATTAGACAAGAGAAGATCAAAATTTTGGTGCACATGAGGTCAGACGAGAAGTTGATGATGTAATACAGTGAGCAAAACTCAGAAGATCAAGAAAAACCATCTCTTAAGACAGTCAAACAAAAAATAAAGAGGGGAGGGAGTTGTAAGCGCAATATCGCTTGAAATTAAGTCACGCGTAGATAAAGGCTATCCCGGTCCAGAACAAACAAGAAGCCGGTCACTGTTTCTACGGTACTATTAATAAACAAATCAATAATTATATATACAACAAACCTTAACGGTTTCAAGAGTACAAAGCACAACGCTTAACAGAAAGCAAGGTACCGCTATCAGAGCGGAATAACGTTAAAGCCAAAATTGCGAACTAGCCGGAACCAGACACGACCGTTCAGGTAAGCAGTCAGTAGAAGAATGAACCCAAGTAAGGCATGGCATAAAACAGAGAGCGTTTAAGAGAGATAGACCGAGCATAGGCACAAAGATAGAATTTAATTGGCTACTTAACCAGGTAGGAAAATACAGATGAAAATCAATAAATAAGATAAACTCGACAGAATAGTACAAAGTTAGACATGGGTCAGCAAAAATAACAGTTCACAAAATACTCTGATTGGGCCATGAGTTCAACTGTCTGACTAAACGGATCGAGGTAAAAACACATACACCCAGTTCATTAAACAAGCAGGGATAGACACGTTAGGCATGGATAATTGGGTTGCAACAACGCTAGGCTGATCCGGGACAGGTTGACTTGATTCAAGGATGGGAATAGAATTGATCTTACAGGAGTGAAAAGATAAGCTAACAAAATTTAAAAAATAATTAGAAAACAAAGAGTTACTAAGATGTGAGTCACCAGGGTAACCGCAGCCCAACAATGGATTCTTTTTGGACACATAAGTCAGGCTTCAATCGTTTTATTGTTATAGCCTCAGCAAACCTGAGAAGACTTAAGATTCTTTGTCTGTTAATTATTTTGAATGATTCCAGGACATCAGGTATTTAGCGATTGAAGAGCTTAAACAATTCGGTCCCTTTAAAACCGGATGCTTTTATTGGGAACATGTTCGCAGAATCTGACGTTGCCCCTTCCTCCGGTCTTACTGCCGGCTTAGAAAGATGTAGAAATATGCGGGCTGAGGATTGTTACCTGAACCACGTGCATGGTTCATGAGCATTCTATCTCTGTGCCATTGACGCCCATCGTTTACATAACGTTAGTAAACATGCTAACCATATAATTCTAAGTATTTTTTTCACAATATGATTATTTACAATTAATTTGTTTTTTTTTATTCACTTACCAACCAGATTAGTCGATAAAAATTCTCAGTCAACTGAAACCTCTCAATTGTGTAAATCTCCAACAACGCATGTGTTCAATGTCAGTTCTCATTTTGAAGTTCGTCAACTATTGTGTCAACTGCATAGAGCATGGAAAAAATTTCGACCATTAGAATTAGCGCTAGCAAGAATCAATAAACTATTCGATGTTTTATTTGAAACATCACCAAAGTAAGTGACAAGTTTGTTTTTTGGCCGGGGGGGCGGGTTGATTTTATTTTCAAGTTTGGCCCCCATTGTAACAACAGAAGACAAGGGCCGGCAACAGATCATTTTATTACGGAAATCAGCACGTATTTACATATATTTCATGTACATTATCATAGCTTATTCAAGTAGATGAACACAGTCTTCTGATTGGCTGTTTCTCGGGAGTTAAGCAGACAAACGCAGTCTTCTGATTGGTTGTTTTCGAGATTTTTTGGAAAGTTGAGCCATCTATCTGCGAATCATATTTGCCCACGCTTAAGTCTGCTGTGATTGGTTGTTGAATCAGCCTTGTTCATATTTTCTCACGGCCAATATTAGTTACCTAGACATTGACGTAGATTAATGTCTACCAATTGGCTAGCAGCCTGCTCTCATCACACCATGAATTGATATATCAGTTAGTTAGAAAAACATTGAAAAAACCAGCGAGTTAGTTGCTGGACAACCAAATGTTTCGTTCCCCCCTCCCCAGTTTAGGACTCATCCGGCAGTAAGCACCCACGCACCGGAGTTCGAATCCAGGACTTTGCAGTTACAAGACAAGCTCCGTGGTCAAGCGAACAACCACAGGGGGAATTAGAAAGTCAAGTTTTGTAGAAAATAAACTCACACAGACCAAATGCTCAATTACAATAACACACAAAAAGAATTGTGTACAAACACTATTCAAGAGGACCAGCCAGGACTCATTGCTGCACTCCTACCTACCTCAAGGAAAATTGACTGAAGAAAGATATCTCATGGACGTCTTCCTAAAAGAATTGATATCCACAGAACTTCATCAAAAGACATATACCCCCCCCGCAGCCAACCTACCAAATCAACAGGTCCCCAAGGAAATCACAAAGAAAATCACCCTACCATATATATAAAGGATATCTCAGAAATCACTGCAAGACTCTTCAAAGATTTAGGAATTCCTGTCGTACATAAACCAACAAAGTCACTTAACTCAGCCAGCCAGCTCTGTGTCAACCACCTCACCGTTTTTCAATAGTTTTCTAACTGGTATCAATCCGTGATCAAACTTAGGTGATCTCTGTTGACATACAGTGGCTCCTTGAATAAACAGAGCATCCAAGATACGACTTTCATCTTTTTCTTAACCCTTATTGACTTCAGCGACTCGGGGATTGACTTATTATCAGGGAATAGTCTTGTAGACTCAGAATATGCGGATGATATAGTCCTTCTCTGTAAAGACGCTGGTAAACTCCTTGAGGAGCGGTAATCTTCGAATATTTTGACGTACGATTCGCCCGTGTGTCAAACGTGAAATCATGCTACAGGACTGGACTACACTGCTTGATGACACCTAGCGTAAAGATAGAGGGAAGTGAAGTGGTAGCACATATTTCACCACAACATGCTGATTGCTGCTGACGAAATCTCAGCACGGATACAGAAGGCTCATTTGGCATTAACCCGACAACTTACGTCATCTCTGGCTTACTAGACGTGATATCCGACTAGCTGTCAACCAAAGGACGTGTGTACTGCCCAGCAGTTCGCTCTTTCCTCCTTTATGGCTCTGAGCGAGACACGAACATTAAAAGTGGAAGAGATGAAACGTCTAGCCAGCTGTCTTTGATCATAGGTTTCTGTGTTCTGTCTCCCGTGTTAAGTGATATAATCAGGTGAGCAATATTAGGGTTAGACGTCGAGTACTAGGTAAGGAGGGGAAATCAATCGATAAGGCAGTGGAGTTACATCGACTGAAATGGTTAGGACATGTGTTACGCATGCCTAGTCATCGCCTTCCTCTACTGACGGGCAGGATGGATCAAGTCTGAAGAGAGTCATTAGTGGTCAAACTAAAATGTGGCTTCATCAGTCAATGAAGTCCACAACAGTTAGTTTAAGCCAGTCACACAGGGAAGTGCAGGCTTCCTTGTTGGGCTCCTCGAGATTCCAACCATCAATATCTGGAGACAATTGGTGATATGGTTCATAAACCGTTATCAATGGCTCATATATATACATTCATTCTTTGGGATCTGCAATATCCAATAAAACCCTATTGTCTTTCCATGTTACTATTCTGTCTTGCTCACACTTCTGCCTAATATCGAACGACCCATATATCTTGCTCCGCAGGAGCTAGTCAATTGGTAGATACACACAGAATTGGTCGATTGGGACAGTTTACCTTTACAGCTATTGTAGAACATTGGGCGACAAGAGAACATCACTCTTAATGTAGAAGCAAAGAGTGTTCTTTTCAAGGCATTTGGTATTCTCTTCCTTAGGATGTCTGCTAGGAGGTCGCCTTTGAAAGCCAGCCACATTCATGTATAGCATCCTCTTCGGGTTTTATGTATTTATCTATGAAGCATGAGAGGGGTGACCATTTTCAATGAATGTTTTCCTCAAAAGAGTGATTTCTTCATTTAGTGACTCTGGGCTGCAGATGTTTCGCATCCCCACCGAAAGAGATATCAACAGGTTTCGCTTACGATTTATGGGCATCCAACTGCAAAGGTTTTGTCAAGTGGCTGTTCCCCGTCAGCTTTCTATATACTGATCTGTTCAATGTCCCAACAGGCTTCTTTGTTAGGTGAATGTCCAGTGTCTGCTTCGATTATCAATTTTATTGGTTAGATGAGACCTATCGAATACTTGCAGGATATTATTTAGGGTACACTAAGTATCACAAATGATAAAAGTATCATCATATAGTATGATGACGACCTGGTACTACGGTCGAGATTGGTGGGTAGACTCTTGAGACGCTCTCTCTCTCTCTGTCGCATGTAATGCTACGCGTTCATCGCCTTTGTCACGTAAGTCCTATACAGTTTCTTCAAGCGCTTGTGGGAGTGTATTCCTCACGAAATGAAAGTACGAATACCGACGTCTGTCGGGCTTACAACCAGACTGATTGGTGAGCAGCAGGTAGGTCTGTTTAAAAGGAGATGACGATCTAGCCACTCGGACCCGATTCAGTGGCCAGCCCATGAATTCTAACTTCTACCAATTCGTGATTTAGCGCGACTGGCACCAACCAATGTCATCGGTGGGGCATCCACACTCAAACTTGACATTTGGATGGACTTCACTGGTCACAACTTCTCACTAGAACTCCAGGAAACTCCGTCCGTCCTGTAGCAAGTCACTAGCGAGCATCAGATTAATTTCCTATAGTTTGGTTTGTAAGGATGAGTTTTCTTTTTTTTACAAACCAAACTATAGGAAATTAATCTGATGCTCGCTAGTGACTTGCTACAGGACGGACGGAGTTTCCTGGAGTTCTAGTGAGAAGTTGTGACCAGTGAAGTCCATCCAAATGTCAAGTTTGAGTGTGGATGCCCCACCGATGACATTGGTTGGTGCCAGTCGCGCTAAATCACGAATTGGTAGAAGTTAGAATTCATGGGCTGGCCACTGAATCGGGTCCGAGTGGCTAGATCGTCATCTCCTTTTAAACAGACCTACCTGCTGCTCACCAATCAGTCTGGTTGTAAGCCCGACAGACGTCGGTATTCGTACTTTCATTTCGTGAGGAATACACTCCCACAAGCGCTTGAAGAAACTGTATAGGACTTACGTGACAAAGGCGATGAACGCGTAGCATTACATGCGACAGAGAGAGAGAGAGCGTCTCAAGAGTCTACCCACCAATCTCGACCGTAGTACCAGGTCGTCATCATACTATATGATGATACTTTTATCATTTGTGATACTTAGTGTGCCCTAAATAATATCCTGCAAGTATTCGATAGGTCTCATCTAACCAATAAAATTTACAATCGAAGCAGACACTGGACATTCACCTAACAAAGAAGCCTGTTGGGACATTGAACAGATCAGTATATAGAAAGCTGACGGGGAACAGCCACTTGACAAAACCTTTGCAGTTGGATGCCCATAAATCGTAAGCAAAACCTGTTGATAACTCTTTCGATGGGGATGCGAAACATCTGCAGCCCAGAGTCCCTAAATGAAGAAATGATGTACACAAACTAACTATAGAAAAATAATAGAATACAATACCCCAATAATCTCCTTCAGTATTCTTTATCTCCCTACTGGTGTGTTTTTTTATTTTCAATCCAGAGAGGCTTATTTAAATAAAGATGAACGTTGTGTGCTAGATTGGCATTTAGCTAATTTAGAATTTGCTAATGCTACTGAATTGCACAATTTATCATTGCGTCATTGGGATCAAGACGATTTGTTTGAATTCAATGGGGAACATTGTGTTCTACAAGATGGTTATGGTTCAGTAACGGATAGTTTAGCACAATATATCACATCAGGTCAAACAATTGTCTCCCATCAATCATTATCGGCGTCATCAAGACAACGTGATCATCAGACGTCTGTGGCGACATCGTCTGCAGCTTCGACAACCACAACAACAACAGCTCAGAATTCCAATGCTTATAAACTTGGTCCATGTCATATCGAATTGAAAAGTGCAGCTAAGCGTATTTCCTATTCCAACACAGGTAAGTATTATTATTATTTATTATTATTATTATTTCCTTTAATTCCTAGAGGAACATAGGGCTTCAGCCGCGCGTCGCCATTGTGTTCGGTTTTCTGCTAGAGGTTCACCTGGCTCCAAGTCTGCCCATAGGCTTTCATCTCCTCTTCACATGACCTCCTCCAAGTCACCCTTGCACCCACGACCAACTCGCCGCTTCCCTTTCGGGTTCCACTCGAGCGATGGCTTGTCTAGTGATGTCACTCACTTGATGGTTTGTTTCCTCAGAGGATGGCCAGCCAATCCATCTCCATTTCTTCCTGCCTATTTGTTTCACAATCGGTTCCTGTTGGGTCGGTTCGCTCACTACCAGAGATCCCTGTTGCTGATCTTTTCTGGCAGGCCATCTGACCTTGAGTATTGAGCGAAGACAGTTAGCTGTTGATGAAGGTCTGTAGTTTGCTTGAGGTGCTCTTTATGACACGCTGGCCAAGTCTCTGATCCGAATAGTAAGTAGCATTGACTGGCTTCACATTGGAGTTGAAAGTGCGGATCTTATTTTTCATCCTGAGTGCTGAGTGTTTTCCTTCACACAGACTTGAGAGTAATGAAAGCTTGTCCTGCTTTTCCGATTCTTGCTTTGATATTCTCATCAGTTCCGTCCGCCTGTAGTTGAAACGATGCTTCCCATGTAGGGTAGGTAAAAAAGGTTGTTTCTTTCATGTTCCTCCCATTTATGCTGGCTGATTGTTGTCTGTTGTTGCTGCTGTTAGTGATGTTGGCCAGGAATCTTCATCACCTCTGAGTGGGAAGGGTGGGGGTGGGGGTAAATTAAAAGGATATGAGTTATTTATTTAAAAAGAATACCTTTGTGGAGATGTGATACCTACCAATGGGTTCTAACGTAATATTATTCTCACAAATTCCCACCGTTCAATTAGGCAGTAGCATAAGAATACTATGTATGTATATGAACATTCTATTTCATGCCGTTTAATGTAAACCAAAATCACACACTCAGTGATTGCCTAAAGAACAATATCAACTGTATAGATCTTAAATAGCTGTTTTGATCACTTGAAGAATATATACCTCGGCTTCCGTGTCTTGCATTCTACTGTTGCACGTAAAATGATGTCGACGAAGCTGTGAAGCTAGAACATGTGTTACGCATGTCTCGCTCGCCTAGCCAACACAATCGCCTTCCTCGAAAGTCGGGCAATATTAGCTGACTGACATAGGATGGATCAGGTTGGAAAAGAGCCAGTGGAGGTGATCAAACCAAAACATGGCTTCATCAGCCAATGAAGTCCACAACACTTCGTTTAAGCCAGTCAGTCACGTAGAAAGGTGTTGACTGGCTTCCTGACTGGTTGGGGTCCCGGGGGACGATAAAAACCAGTGAAGGCTGAAGACAACTGGTGATATGGCTAGTATTCACAACCATCTGAATTTTGGCCCATCACTCGTGTAAACTAGTAATACAATACATTGGATCAAATTCGTGATCACAATTCATTGTGATGATCTGCTTAATACCATTAATTAGTAATGAAGAAGGCAAGCACAAATGCATGATGTGATATCCTCCGGCCATCGATTAAAGGATGTGGATACTGCACAGTGGTTCACTCTATCCTCTTTTTATGGCTGTGTAACATGGCCATTGACAGCGATGGAAGATTCGAAGCCGCCAGATGTCCTTGACCTCAGATGCTTGTATTATGTATCTAACGTTGAGCGGTACAATGTGGTTATGTGTAAACTACTGGGTGTGGAGTGTAATTCAATCAATAAAGTTGTGAAGCTGCATAGATTGAGATGGCTAGGATACTGTTTTCGCATGTCGAGCCACTGCCTTCTTCGGCGAAAAATGTACCCTGACATATAGTTGGTGGTCAAACCAAAGCCTGGCGTCAATCGATGAAGTCTTTAATAGATGGTTATAGACAGCAAGACACTTAGGGAGATGTATAGACTGTCTAGTTGTTGGAGTCTTCAGGATGCTAAGAACCGATAGCTAAAGGCTACTATTAGTGATATGACTGAAAACTTGTCCTCACTGGGTGCACCTCCGTTCACTCGATTGTTCTTTTGAGCCTCTTTGCCTCTTTCCTGTACCGTTGTGTGATATACAGAGTGTGACAAGTTGAACTGCTGCACTTTTCTGTGTAAAGTTCTATATTAAAATTCACTCAGTTATACATGCATGATGCCTATACATGAGTTGAGTATTGCACTTTTTTTGGTTTTCACGTAACTCATGAGCGCATAGCTTAAACATGATAAACAGCATTTTATTTTAGAAAAAATAGATTATAGAATGTTTAATGTTTTCAAAACGTGTATCATTCATTTCCTTTCAATCAATAATTATTGAGTTTCTCTGCGTGTGTGTGTGTATGTGTACGTGTTTGCGTGTAAATGTCACATGATTAAAGCTTTCATAGTGCTACATTGTAATGTAGGCACTTGAGTCAATAATGCTGTTTGTGTAACTGGTCATATATCGATTTGTATTCAGGTGACAGTGATCTACACCCCTTGTATGCGAGCTAATGGAATGCCCTAACACATGATTAATTGTTCAAGCCTCGACAGATGGAGCAGGGTCAGCACCCTTCGATCCCATTAGTTGATAGCTGAGTGCCTAAAGCATCGAGCCACAGTTCCAGGGGGGGAAGTCTTGTGTACGAATCCCTCGCCGTTTACTTCAGCCTGGGCAACTACATAGTGTCTGTCATTCAGCCTAGACACAGTGAGTATGGCTAATGACCTTGGTTACACAATCAGTTATTGTATTATTGTCCCCTAGGGAGTTCCTAGTGGAACATAGGGCTTCATCTGCACGTCTCCACTTGCTTATGTCCTGCTTCTGCTGTACTTTTCACCTGCATCCATGTTATTCCATACTGTTTCAACTCCTCTTCACACGATCTCCTCCATGTCACTCTTGCACTGATGACCCACTCGCTGCTTCCCTATCGGGTTCCACTCAAGCAATGGCCTGACGCGCGCGCGATGTCACCCAGCGGCCTCCTCAGTGAGTGTCCAACCCATCTCCATCCACTTTCTCCTGCATATTTGTTGGGCGAGCGACCGGTTCTTGTTTTGTTTGTTCCCATAGTTTTTTGTTGGTGGTGATTCTTTCCAGTCCGGCCATCTGATCTTCAGTATAGAGCCAGCGAAGACAGTCAGTTGTTGATAAAGGTCTGCAACAGGCTGTTGGAAATATTCTTTGTGACCCACCCGCCAAGTTTCTGTCTGATCCGTATAGAAGAACTGACCGACTTGACGTTGTTTGTATTGAAAATCCGACCGAATTTTGTTGTTGATGCTGAGTGACGAAGATTTCCAGATTGTTTTCAGGTTGGTTAATGTGTTTCTCGCTCGCTTTCCCGATTCTCGCTCGATTTGACATCCTTGTCCGTTCCGACTTCCTGTAGTTGAGACAATTCTCCCTAGATAAGTGAATGAAGTAACCTCTTTCAAATCCCTCCCGTTGATGGTGATTGGCGCTGGATGTTGCTGCTGTTGTTGTTCTTGTTGTTGGTTGGTTATTTTCATAACCTCCGTCTTGTCTATGTTCACATGGGGAGTCCTGTCTTCGCCGGCTGCTTCTTCGACCTGTTTGTCGGTTTTCGCTCATAAGTCTTCGATTTTGTGTGTGTGACATCAAACATAAATCATCCACGCACGAAATCCAGGTCTACTAGGTTCTTCATGTCGGTCCAGGATATCCCTGTCTTCTCGTTTCCCACTCACAGTCTGACGCATAATCCAGGCAGTGTGTGTACCACAATTAGGAATATCATTGGTGATAATAAGCACCCTTGTCTGACTGACTCCTGTGTTATTATAATTTAAGCATCTTTAATGAACTGTAATTCCAGTGAAATTATTTAAAAATCACCAATATTGTTATTTTACAACTCACCTAACACTTCACCGTAGCCTAACCTCAATATTACTCACCTTGTTATATCACTTAACACGGAAGATATAACGTAGACACCTATGATCAAAGACAGTTAACCTTTTCGATTCTTACACTTTCAATGGCTATGTCTCGCTCACAGCCATATTAGGAGGACGGAGAAAACTGTTGCAGTGCAGTATACATATCTTTTGGTGTTGACAGACAGCCGGATATTACCTCTTCTAAGCCAAAGATGAAGTAAGTTTGGCTGACAAAATGCCAAACGAGTCTTCTGTATTCATGAAAATACTTCGTCAGCCATCAACCCGTTGGGGTCGGCTGATGCAACTCCCCAAATAAATAAGTGAAGTGGTCAGCACGCTCAACAACCAATTCACTCCTTATCTTTAAGCTAGAAGTCAATGTAGTTCATTCCTTTGGCATAATCTTGCATTTGACAGGAGCGAATCGCATGCCAAACATTCGAAGATTGCTGGCTGCTCAAGGTGTTCAGAAGACTCTGTATTTTGTCAGAGTTAGAGTTAAGTTCATTAGTACATCTATGATAAAATTAAATAGGAATGTGGACAGTGGACACTTACTCACTGTCTTGCGTCAAGTTTAACAGTTCCATGTGTGTAACACTTTCCTTATCACATGAAAAATTTATACCAAATAGTAAGGTATCATTGGAGTTTTTTATACTTAGTTGTCCGGGCATAAAGGCTTTTTTATAATTGCCTCTAATCCCACCCTTTGAGATGCAAGGAGAGGAAGTGTGTATAAAGAGGGGGATGCTCAGACGAATCATGCCAACGAACCAGGTCATGTAAATTCCGTTTGTGTCTGAAAGTGATATCCGATATTTGATTGGTTACAGAATTTCATCATGAGCTGATATATTGGCTAGTGCCAATCGCGCTCTGTCGTGAAATTAGCAGACGTTGGAATTCATGAACTGGCCATTGGATTGATGGATCCCATTGGCCCTAATGAGAACGGTCTATGAGCTCGCTAGCCTTGTCACCAAAAGGTCCTAGGTTTGAACCCCGGTGGGTGGATGCTTACTGATGAAGAGTCCCAAACTAGACTGACGAAACAGCTATCTGGCTGTGCTTCCTGCAAATTTTCCATTGGTTCTCTCTAACCTATGTGTTAACTCACAATGAAATCCTGTAACCAACTGAATATAAATACATTTCTTCATCTGTTATTTTCATTTTTTCTTTTCATCTACAGGCGTACGTGTCGATGTCTTGAATACCGCATTTAGTCAAGATGACTTAATTGAATATGATGCCGATGCTGTACTCTGTACTCTACCATTAGGTATATTAAAAGAAAGTATTCGACAACAACAGCCTGCCTTGAATGCTACAAATAAATCAAATAATGTCTATTTAACTAAATTGATTGCACCGTGTTTTGAACCTCCACTGCCTAATTGGAAGGTTGCAGCTATTCAACGTTTAGGTTATGGTTTGTTAAATAAGGTAAGTTGAAAGTGGGAATTGTTTTGGATAACTTTATCTTTTTTATATTCCCTTGTCTTCGGCACGGAACACACGGGGTTTCCAGCTTGATCTGTGGAGTTTCAGTAACAGTGATGCTTGATTTTTACAAGGTGGGATGGTTAGCCTCACGCGCCCAACTTCCTATCTTTATTCGAACTTACACTGACGGTTGTTTTTATTTCCTTCACGTTCCCAATGGAACATAGGGCTTCAGGCTAGAGGCTTGAAGTTTCTGTAGCAGCGGTTTTTATTTTTGTGGGATGTGGTTGCTAGCCTCATGCCCAACCTTTCTCATTTAGCAGCTTTATTTCTGGCTTGGCGAGGTAAACGAGTGCATCAGCCGAGGATTGAACCCCGGGCTACGTTCATGGTCGACGAACGTCCTAACCGCTGTGCCACCGACGCACACACCGCTGGTTACCTGGGGTTTAGGAGTTCATCGGTGGCCGGGTGAAAAGGGAAGCTTGAACGTAAGTAAGGCTAGCAACTTGTGCCCATAAATAAAAACAACACGGCTAGTGAAACCTCAAAACTTGAAACCATATATTCTACACGGAATGTAGCATTTTCAACCGCTGTATTTTTGTGTAAAGTTCTGCGTTAAAAACTCAGTCAACGCTCGTCACTTTGTGATAAGAGCTGTCTGCTAGCCAAAATTGGTAGACAGCAATTTACGTCAATATTTACGTCCTAAATCTTGGTCATGAGAAAAAAACAAAGACTAACTCAGCAACCAATTACAGCAGACTTAGCGTGGGCGGATGCGATTAGCAGATATATGTGGTCTGACCTTCAAAGAAATGGCCATGAAGAGATGACAAAGTAACGTTCAGCAGCAAAATAACCAATCAGAAGACGTTGCTTCTCCGTTAACAATAAGAATAATAATGATGTACATAAATATCTATAAATATCTGTTGATTTTCTCAATTGACGATCTTTTGCCTGGCCCTTGTCTTCTGTCGTTATAACTTAATCTCAACCCGGTATATGAAAGATATTTTCCCAAGGAACTAAGTTCGGCAAAGTTCTACAATAGCGTCCCAAGGGATGCGAACGCATGAGTGAGTGACCTTGAGTCGACCAATCAGAAAAATTAGGGGTTCTTGCACAAGAAATCACCTATACATTTACATAAAAAAGCATGAAGAAAAAACATTAAACAGGGTATATTTCTCTAATATGAAATAAAAATATTCCCCAATTATAATGGAGAGTGTCAGTTTTTAAATTAAACCAATTTCTATTCACATGTATTCATCCAGGTGACTAAAAATAACCTTATTTTAGGAGCCATTTATTGCTCTTATTTTATTCTTTTTTAATCTTCCCCAGAAACCCTTTATTGAATTAATATGAGTACCGGTTTTGGGATCGACGAAATTATCAGAATGGTTAACTCAGTGGAGTATATATCCCAAATCCGATAATCGGTTATATCCTGCGCATTCATTCGTGTGTGTGTGTGTGTGTGTGTGTGTATAGTAGTGCCAGGCGAAACGAGTCTCTGAATAATACGCAGAAGAGTGTCGGCACTCCTGTCTGAAATAACTTCGATGAATCCTTTCCGAATTTGGGTGCCATAAATGCCCAATACTCAAACGTTATTAGCTGTAGCACGCCCGCGATTGTATTTTATTCTTCGTAAGCCCCGTTTCGTCAATATAAACGACAATACCGACTCCTCCGAGCACTTGTTTAATATTGTTCATTTTCCATGATGCTAAATCTCGACAAAATTGAAATCACTGCACAGCAGACGTCAATGTATTATCTGTCTGACTGAGCTGCAGTTGACCTCATACCGGACTTTAAAATCCATCAATGTCAAAAAAAACAGTATATTTATCAAAGAAAGTTTCGATTTTTCAAAGAAAGTTCCTAGGAGACAATTAACTGAGAGTGTCGCTTACCAGTATTAACACTTGTTCGTTTCCTACACTGTGTAGAGCTAAATATATATATCCATCAATGACCTGGATATACGGCTGCAGGTTCATAGGAGCACCACAGCTACATATACGAGAACGTCCTATCAATCCATCATCCAGACGTGATCTGGGTGAAATTCACACCTGAGCTGATGATGAACAGCGGAAATGAACCAGCTTGTTAAATATTCTGGTTGACAGGCATATGGACTCATGTGAAAAATGGGTCAAATAAATTTTTATCTTACACCACCCTATTCATTCACAACTCTCCCTTTGTTGTATCTCATCAGGAAGAACCAGAAGCCTACATAGAAAATTATATGCTCGCACTAGTAAGTACAAAAATTCAACCATACCCTACTTGGTTGGCTCGTGTTCTGTGCGATAAACAAAGCATTAGGCGTGAAACTTATAACTTATTAAATAGTCAGTAGAACAACTGGATCTCGTCTTTCCAACTCATACCATTTATAGGTACAACGTTTTTCTTTCTTTCTTTTCCTTTTCTCTCTCTCTCTTTTCTCTTATGTTCTGCTTTGTTTCTTTCTTCTGCTTACGCCAGTAAATATGCTAGCACCTACTTTTCTAGCACCTTCAAATACTCTGTTTAATTTTGGCTTTCCTACCGATATGCCAATATGTTGTTGTCAAAACTAACTGAGATTACCCTTAATCTATGTAGAATTTTATTTTATTGTAAATTTACTAACTGGATGCAATAGTGTAGTAAAATGCTGAGAATTCCATTCTGTATCACAAGAACTGTTTAAGAATAAAGCAACTTATTATTATTCATTTTCGCGATAGAATAATCGTAAGTTTATTCAACCAATGACTAGCATGCGTTCAAGGTCATCTGAGCGTTTGCACTCCTGGGACCCTATTGTTGAACATAATACACATCATCACCCCGTTGTTTTTAAATTTATTTTTATTATAATAATAAAATTTAAAATCTTTCTTTTCTTTTTTTTTAAAGGTTGTTCTTATCTTTGAAAAATGTTTTTGGGATCGTTCACAAAATCTATTTGGACATGTGAATAGTTCAACAAAGTCAAGAGGTGAATTATTTCTATTCTGGTCAATTACTGATAAACCTGTTCTGATCGCATTAGTTGCTGGTCGGGCGGCATGTGATTTAGAAGGCAGTAATGAAAGGCCTTCACCAACACGTCGAATATCACCAGGATCTAAAGCATTACACAATTCAGCAGCAAGTGGAAGCTCAACCAGTGCTAATGCTAACAGTAATCATTTAATAGGTCGTGGAGTTAAAGAACCCATTGTCAATAGAGCTATGCAAATTCTACGCGGGATTTTCGGTCAAGAAAATACTGGCAACAACAATGGTAATAATAATAATAATAATGGGAATGGAATATATGGGAATTCAGAAAAGAAGAAAGTTGTTGTACCAAATGTAAGTTCCTTTCTGGTCAATTCTTTTATGGGGTGACCGAAAATAACAGATGAAGAAATATATATACATTCAGTTGGTTACAGGATTTCATCATGAGAGAGACGGCCATTTCGCCCGCCCTAGCTTGGGTGTCTTCAGCAGTATGCATCCACCCCACCGCGGGGTTTGAACCCAGGATCTTTTGGTGACAAGGTTAGCGAGCTGGTAGACCATTCCTTTGGGGCCACTGGAACCTGTCCATCCAATGGTTAGCCCATGAATTCTAACTTCTGCCAATTCATGCGCGACATAGCGCGACCACTTCGCCAATGTCTTCTTCTTCGATGAGTTACTGCCTCACCTTCAATCTGCTGTTGTAACCTACTGGTCACAGCTTCCCACTAGAATCGCAGGTCACTGCCTGAGAATAGGGCCAGTCGCTAGTGAGCATCATATATGAACCAATTAGATAGATAAAGTAGTTTTTCTTACCACCAATTGGATTCTGATTGGCTGTAATGTCATGTGACAAAGGTCATACATTGTTATGTAGTTTATTCACAGACAAGATAGATTGTGAATCATCACTGACTAACGATCATTATCGAGAGCGAAAATCCGGACTTATACTGCCGCCACCCTTTGTTTGTCATTTTCCAGCTGCCAACCAATTATGATTGCTCAAGAGAAAGACAAGCTACCTAGTTATGCCACTTCGATGAGTATCTATAAATTTAGAGAGAGACAGCGCTATATATGGCGAACAACTAGATAGCTTAACAAACGTATTAATGAGCATCTTACTTCATGGTTCGGAAAAGGTTAAATAAAAACCATACGAAGTTCTATTTTGGCTCATTCGATTGACCGTGGCGGTCACCAAGTGGACAAAAATAGTGCCTTCAAAGTTATTTACCGCACTTCATCGAGTCTTTCAAACGGAATCAGACTCTGTCTTTTACACTTAGCCAGTAATATGGGAATTTGAGGGAACAATCCTAATCTTCGCATACAACGAAAGAAGTTTGTTCCACCTTTGTCTCTCCCTTACCTGGTCTAGGTGAATTCCACTCAAAACCCTCCCACCCTTTCTTATTTCCCATGTCCTTTGTACTTTTATGACATTTAGTATTACGTAACTTCTAAAATTTGACCTGATTTATTTATTGGATTGTCTACATATATACATATTACTACCTTTGTTATTCTTATCGCCACCTTATTATCAATATTTTGCTATCATTATAACCATTATAATAAAAATGGAACAAAAGGATTTAACTAGTCAACGGCTTGATAGATCAATAAAACGATCTATTTATAGCCTAAAACCTACCTGGACAGGACAGTATCTTAATTATCACAGTTTCTGCTCTGTTCAGTACAAAAGGGCCTTAGTGAGATAGATGCCTCTTCAGTAGAATCCGACGAATATTCACTGAAGATACGTTTGATGAAGAAGAAAGAATATTGACACAAACTCTGGTTGATAACAATTATCCAGACAAGTTCATCAGGAGATATAAAGTAGTCAGAACACTAAGACCAACTCGCCCCTAAGAAAGACGTGTACATCAAGCTACCCTATATTGGGGCATCATAGCAGCTTGACAACTAGACAAAGATTGAACACTAATATGGTTAAAATGACTTTTTATGCAGCTAATATCATAATAATAGAGAATGTGAAGCCTATATATCCATCCATCTAAGCTTTTGAACATGCGAAATTTGATGCCACATCCCACTGTATTTACCTATTTGAATGGACGTGTGGCCACACATATATAGGGAGGAGTCATCGATCTCTGAAAGTGAGTTGGGTTGGCTTCAGAGTATATTCCTAAATGCCTCCAGAAGCAAATAGAATCCCAAGAACCTCTTAATGGTGAGAACAGGAGACCTAGCTTCTCTATGGCGAAACATATTATAAAACGTGTTTGGGACATATCCTAAAGTTTTTGGAAGCCCTAGCTGGAAAGTGGAAAGTTTAAACCACCATAATGCGTTCAAAGGAACAATTCATCATCACACTAAACCTTTCTTGGTAAACTTTGTTTTTAAACAATTAGTTCCCTTCATGAATTTAGATAAAGCAGTAGGAAGACGTAATTTATCAATATCAATAAGACGTAATTTGTCTGAATCGTGTAAAAAAGAAAATATGCAATAGATCTACTAACCATTTAGCAAGTTTATGCGTTGAGGATTTGATTTGCACATTGTGACAATATAGGACGTAGAGGATTATTGGGTTTATGTATCTTTGGCAACCCATACATATGTTGGAATTTACAATCTGATGATTTTAATGAGTCAAATTTATCCTTACTTATAGCATTTAGGCTATGAAGCTTTAGTAGATTAGCTGTCACTGTGCCCTGCAACAACTGAATATCTTCTGAGGAGGGATCACGGCTAAATTTGCTTTTATCATCAAGAATAGACATCATTTTAGATTTGTAGTCACTTTTATTCATAGTGACGACTCCAGAACCTTTATCAGGTTTAGTAATAATTATATTAGAATTTCCCCGTAGCTCTTTCAAGGCTTTGAAATGCTGGGAATTTATAAAATACTTTTCTCCTTTGGGTTGTTGTTTAAAAACTGGTGAGCTATATCCACCATCTTGGCCTTAAACCAACCCCGATCTTCATCAGATGTTGCGGCAAGAGGTTTGAGTTGGTCATGTAAGTTTTCAAACTCAGCATGGATGGTTAAATCCTTTTAATAATGAAGGAATGATTTTTAATGCATAATTCATAAAATTCCAACGTGTTACGTTCGACGATAATTTTACACCTAAGGTTAACAAGTTCATTTAACCTTTCGATAGTGTGTGGAGGGAGCCTTCTGTTTAAAAATTTAAAACAATTAGTCCCCTTTATCTAAACTTTGTTTTGATACCAGCCAGGGAGATGTACTATATTACCTCTTTTATTTGGTTTGGTGATCTTCAATATGTCCGTCCTTTTAACTTTACCTAAATTTATTTTCTCACCTCTTAACTCTTAATTTCATATGCATATTCCTATGACAAGTACGTGGAGTGTGATCAGATTGTTCGAAATGTGTTGAGTGTGCAAATACATTACACACACGATGCAGACAGACAAATTACGCCTTCTTATTGCTTTGTCTAAATTCATATAGAGAACTAATTATTTTAAATCCTAACTTTATCGATTCGTCAACCAGTGTCTTCGATGAGAACCCATTTCACCTTGGTATGACGGACCCCGCCGACCACAAATTTTGCACTACAGCTTCAGAACACCCATCTAGTAGCTGGAGATTGATATTAAGATTGTAAAACTTGTTATTTTATTTTCTATTATTATTATCCTTATTTTCCTAAATAACTGTCCATTTTATTTTATCATATCTCTCCCTCTAGCCAATTGATGCCTATGTCACTCGTTGGAAAGCTGATCCTGATTCCCGCGGATCATATTCGTATGTTGCAGTTGGAGCTAGTGGTGCTGATTATGATATACTTGGTGAACCAGTTTCTATGCCATCGTCATCTCCATCCACGACCGCCAACACCACCTCCTCTGATGTGATTGCTGAAAAACGACCAAGAAGTTCTGCTGAACAGTCACAACATCAACAACACCAACAAGACGATAATAGTGGTCCCACTGCACGTAGTATTCCACGTGTATTTTTCGCCGGCGAACATACGTGTCGATGTTATCCTGCCACTGTTCATGGTGCTCTCCTGAGTGGTCTACGTGAAGCAGCTCGTATAGCTAATAACTATTTTCCAGGTCCTACACCTATACGTGTATCAGGATTTAAATTGTTGAACAATACATAGGCAAATGGACTAGAAGAAACGTTATTTACCTATAAATTGCCCCCCCACCCCCACCCCACCCGCCTTATTATTATTCATAGTCATAGTAATACTCATAGTAAGTGTCGTCATCACTATCACCATCATCTTCACCAGCACAAACTTTAAGTAGACGCCATCCTAAACTGTCTCATCTCCCTTACCCTCTTTTTTATATTTGCCATTTATATATATAGAAAGAGAGAGATTTTATCCTTTATCTATTCAACTTTATACTGTAAGATGTGAGTGACAGATCGTACTAGTAGTACTACTATTACTACTACTGATGTGATGCATTGGTGTGCGAAACACGCACACACTGACATATGCATCATTACTTCAATTTGTAATGAATCATTGATTGACTGCACTTTTCTAGATATATATATATATAAATTGGTGTGTATCCTGTCTTTGAAGGTGTGTATCTGCGTGCGTGCGTGCGTGTACGTGTGTGTAGATCTTCTTATTTTTACTCAATATTCTTTTTACACTACATAATTATATTTGTGAACAAGAAATTATAAACATATTTTATAAACATTATGAGAAACAGTTTTTCTTTTGTTTATTGGTTTAAGAGTAGACATTGTGGTTTGTAGGGATTTGGTCAGCCAGTGCCAGCCATTGGGTTGATCTCTGACGAAATCTCAGCTGAGTACGGATACAGAGGGCTAGTTTTGCTGCATATGCCAGTTTACGCCATCTCTGGCTAGGTAGACGTGATATCCAACTGAATGGCTGGCTTTCGACCAAAGGGTGGGGGTACTGCTTCAATCATAAGTGCCTGCTTTCTATCTCCCGTGTGTGTGAAGTGGTATAATAAGGTGAGCAATATTGAGGTTAGACGTTGGTCCAGTGCTAGGTAGATGGGAGGGAAATCAATCGACGAGGCTGTGAAATTATATCGACTGAGATGGTTAGGACATGTGTTACGTATCCCTAGTTATCGCCTTCCTCGACAGACAGGCAATGTTAGCTGACACAGAGCCAGTTTGGGAAAGAACCAGTGTTGGACTAACGAAAACATGTCACCAGTCAATGAAATCCACAACAGTTAGTTTGGGCCACATAGGAAGGTGTGGACTTCCTGATTGGTTGGGATGGTGATATGGCTTAAACTCATCGTTCTCAATGGCTAGCGCAGATGTATCCACTCCTTGTGACTTATGATATCCAATAAAACTATATCGTTCTTCGTTATTACTATTCCTTTGTCTCATCTCACACCTCTGTTTACTATCTCTATTATGCATTTTTTATACCTTCTTCTCTTGCTTTGTGTGCTACACGGAGGGAGTGTGGTGACTTGAACTGCTGCATATCGGTGCAAAGTTCTATGTCGTAAACAGACAGACAGGGATTTAATTTGATTGGTCACAGGATTTCACTATGAGCTGACGCATTAGTTAGAGAGAACCATTGGTGAACTGGTAGGGAGTACAGTCAGACAGCTGTTTCGTCAGTCTGGTTTGGGACTCATCGGCAGTATGCACCCATCCCACCGGGGATCGAACTCAGGAACTCTAGGTTGCAAGGCTAGGAACCTTTAATCCAATGGTAAGTGCATGAATTCCAACTTTCGCCAATTGATGATATGGCGCGACTACTAGCTTATGTCATTGTTGGCGAGTATCTGTTCTCACACCCGACCTGCTGTACCCCACTGGTCATGACTTTAAGGATTTTGGGTTGTCTACCCCATCATCCGTATCGTAAAGACGCCTGGCAATGGTACTATTGAAATTCTTTGTCCTCTTGAAACGTAGGTGGGGTGTGAGGATATTCCCTAGTTAGTTGCGTCATATCATGAATTGGCAGAAGTTGGAATCCATGCACTGACCATTGGATTGGTTGGTCCCAGTGGCCCTAATGGATGGTCCTGGGTTCGAACCCCTGTGGGGTTGGTGCGCACTGATGAAGAGTCCAAACAACTAGGACGAAACAGCTGTCCAGTACTCTCTGGTGATTTCCCAATGGTTCTCTCTAACCGATGTTAGTTCATGATGAATTCCTGAAGGGGAATGGTCTGTTTGGTTAATTGGTGTGAAAAGGTGTGAACAGAAACTGAACACAATCGTCTAGTTCACGAAAAAAATATCCATCCAGACATAATGAATAGAAGAACAAACAGTTCAGCGAAGAGTTTCTTTTCAGCGGCGAATTCATCCGCTTCACTATACAATCACAATTACGTATGTCAAAAAAGAATAAAAATTAGTTAGGTTTATTGTTGACGCCATGAAGATGTTTCAAAAATATGATGAATAATCGGAGTGTAACTAGAGTAGGGGGTTTGAAGACTAGTAATTCTTGACCAGGGTTACGTAATATGAAATATGTCCATAAAAATAAGGTTTCAGCGAAAGAGCATGGAGACAGATATTCAAAAATAGTAAATAAATCGTCGGTTAAGAAAACGATGTTACTAAAATGTCATTTTTTGGTTTTACTAAAGGCCTACGTGATTAAGACAAAGCATAATATAATAGTAATTGGACAAAAAGATAAGATAATAGCTTCATTCCAAATCAGTACTTGTGATACAGAATGGAATTCTCAGCATTTCACTACACTATTGAATCCAGTTTGTACATTAACAATAAATAAAATTCTACATAGATTAAGGGTAATCTCAGTTAGTTTTGACAACAACATATTGGCATGTCGGTAGCAAAGCCAAAATTGAACAGAGTGTTTGTAAAGAAAGAGAATAGGAAAGGAAGAAAACGTTGAACCTATAAATGATATGTATTGGAAAGACGAGATACAGCTGTTCTACTGACTATCTAATAAGTTATCGCACAGAACACGAGCAAAGTAGGATATGTGTCAATGTAGCTGAAGATTGAACGATCAATTTATGGTTGTTTGTTCAAACCCAACTTCCCCATATTTCCACCGAGGCATCAATCCACTAGTCATCGTCTCATCGGTCGCTGTTCAGAAAGAAGATCAAAAAACAGTCAGAAACCTCACTCTGGTTATATGTTGGCGTTAGAATAAAGAATTCTTGAGTCGCCAAACAGTGTTTTCGTTTTTGCGTCGGTTAATACTAAGCGTTTCTGAAAATCTTCGAGGGACAGCGTGAGGCCCAGCGTATCAAGAGCTGGACATTAACGGTTTATGAGACTTGATTGAGAGTATGGTTGAATTTTTTGTACTTGCTAGTTCGAGCATATATTTTCTATACAGGCTTCTGGTTCCGCCTGATGAGATACAAGGGGAGAGTTGTGAATGAAGAGGGTGGTGGTTTAAGTTAGATAGATAGAATGGATTTAGCCCATTTTTCATATGAGTCCATGTGCCTGTCGACCAGAATATTAACAAGCTTGTTGGTTAAGTGGCACGTTGCTCACCCTGCTGACAGCCTTTAAGAGCCTACGTAATAAGATATAGTCCTTCTTCAGTAGCCCCGGAAAATCTAAGGATGAACAAAAGAGAATAATAGGCAGGATGCAAGAATTAACGAATCGTGAAAGTAAGGGTTAGGTTATTCCAGAATGTCTTAACTTCTTGATCTAGAAGGTAAGACGGAATATTTTTCCTAAATCATCAAGATAAGAGACGACCAGGAAAGATCAGCAGATAGAATGATGCCAAGATATTTAATTTCCCACTTGGTTTCTGTTTCAGTGCGGAAACTTACAGTTTTCGGGAGGCTTCTTTTGACTTGGTAGATGATTTTGAATGCATTCTCCTGGCATATTGACTGACTAGTGTTGAATGTATGTATTCGACTATAGCACTCTTCATTGATCCACTGCGACTAGTCAAGCAGGATGATGTTCTTTAACTCTTGTAGATAAAACATGCATCGAACGACATACACATAGAAGTTGTCAAATGAGATAGCTTATCTTTAGAGTTGTTGAAGAACAATGGGCGGCATGAGAATACCAGTCGTAATGCAGCAACACAGAAAGTTTCTTTTTAGGTCGTTAGATGTTCTCCTCTTTAGAATGTCGGCCAGAATGCCACCTTTGAACGCCACATTCAGGTATAGCGTCTTCTTCGACACATAGACGGAGTGTTCTTTGTTGGTTTTGGGCTTTATGTGTTTATCTATAAAGCGTGGTGGATACCCATTCTCAAGTAGTGTCTTCCTCAAAAGAGTGATCTCTTCTTGTGCGTCGGTGGCACAGTGGTTAGGACTCTCGCCGACCATGCACATGGTTCGGGGTTCGAGCCCGCACCGACGCACACCTGATATCTATTGTTGGCCTGCAAAATTTGGGCCACCGATATCCATGCTGAAAATTCCATACTTGTACCGAAAATACAGTGTGGAATCAAGCTGTAAATCAAAAATCAAAAAAAAAATTTTACTGACCCAAGGCTGAAGATTCTAGTCGCAACAGATGTGATCAGGTTCCACTTGCGATTGATGGGTATTCAACTGTAGACATTTGTCTACTGGCCATTCCACGTAGGCTTTCTGTATACTGATATCTTTAGGGTCCCATCAATCTTCTTTGTTAGTTGTACGTCCAGAAATGAGATTGTCTGTCCGGTTTCTACTTCAACTGTAAATGTGATGGCTGGATGGCAGCTATGAAAAGCTTAAAGTATATTATTTATGTCACATTTGTTACGACAAATGATAAAAGTATCATCAACATACCTTCTGTACAGGAAAAAGTTGTCAATGATCCATTTCAACGAACCATTTATCAAACCTGCCATGAAAATATCTGCAAATGCCAGACCTTAAACGGGAACCCATAACCACACTATCTTGTTGTCTGTAAATAGTACAACTGTACATGAACTGAGCGTCCAAATCGCATCTAAGTAGAAGTTCTTTTAACATGGGTGTTGGTATTCCAATATTCAAGTCGTTGAGTTCCAGGTACTTCCATAAGAAACAAGTCCTCTCCGCAATTGGGACATTTGTGAAGAGAGATTCAACATCAAGTGATAGCATAGCATACAGTTGTCGTCCACTTTCACATCTTTGATTAGTCAAAGAATTCATA